GAGCTTGCAACCAGAAGTGATGTGTTGTATAGTTTCTGGCATGATGTGACATTTTCTGCATGTGTCATTTGTGAGTGTTGTATCTTTGAGTATGTGTTTTCTGTAGTTTTTAGTATTTATGACCTGATCCTGTATGGCAATCATGAATCCTTCCATCTCCCCAAAGAGGCATCCCCGATCTAACCAGCTGTTTGACGCAGTTTTGTCAACAAACTCCTGGGCCAGGTCATAAGGATGTCTGCCATGGAGTGCCTTTCTCACCCATGATTGTTTAATGGTGTCTATGTTATTTATATGTTGTGTTGTGTCCATATGTTGTGAATGTAAATTTAATGGTGTATTATTTGAATCTGCTAGAGTTAATGCTTTATATAACTGTGATGTTTGCAATAGTTTTTCTACAAAACAACAAGAATGTCTGTATTTGTTTGTAGTGGAGGTTAACTATGTTGATCAGGCCATGTCCGCCATCTTTACGTGGAAGGGTTAAGCTTTCTATGGCAGATTTAGGATGATGTTGTTTATGCTTTGTTAGTGTTCTTGTTTTCATTTGGAGTTGCTCAAGATTTGTTTGAGTCCAGTATACAACTCCAAAAGAATAAGTGAGTACTGGGACGACATAGGTGTTTATTGCCTTAACATCATCTTATTTCATCAGTGAATGAAATACAAGCATAACAAACACAACAACTGTGATAAAAATATATAAATAAAACTTGAAATTAATAGAGTATGTAAAAGTTCACGTCACACCTTTCACTTTGTGACGGCACATTGGTTGCGGAACACTGACCTAGTCAACATCATACTTCTGTACCTTAAAGAGATCTTGTTTGTGAACGTTAAGAGTTGTTTTAAATTTGCATATGGATACACTTGATTATGCGGAGTTAGTTACTGTACATGAGTTCGGAATTTACAATTTATCGTCATGTAATCGTGGCGAGAAAGCACGGAGGGTAATCTTGTTCCTATGTGTTACCATCTTTTTACCTGGGTCTGGTACGTAGACTGGTAGTGTCTTGTGACTTAGCAGGGGTTGTAGGATTGTAAAATAAACACACACGGGGAGCATCTGTCAGTGCTGTATCTTTGTTATTAACTTATTTCTTTTTTATAGGCTAGGTGTAATTTATTAAATTTTTTAAATAATTATTCGAGAGAATCGTGTGACTTTTGTGTTGAGAAAGAAATTGTGGATGCCTGGCATATTTTGGCCTTTAATATCAGGAGACATAAGAATTCTTTTTCATGGTTCGATTCGGACTGTAGGATGTTAATTAGTGCTAGGAATAGAGCCTGGAGATTTTTTAGGAAGAGTAATGATTCTTATAATCGTTTGCGTTTTGTTATGTTATGAAGTTTGGCGAAGTGGTTGTGCATTGCAAAAAAAAATTATTTGCTGGTAAAATTCAGAATTGTTTTAGGAAAGATAACAGACTTTTTTGGAACTATTTTCGACATGTTAAGCAGGCTAAGTCTTGTAATTTCAGCTTTATTCCTATTGATGATTGATTTCATCACTTTTTCAATTTATTTGGTTCCTTGAACCCTTATTTAGCGGACATTTCGATTTTTAATTATTGTAGGAATTGGTATGATGAACTTTTGGACCATGAATTTTCTATAAGTGATCTTAACTTTGCTCTGAGGAGGTATAAACCAAATAAAGCCCCAGGTTCTGACGGGATCTCTATGGAATTCTGGAATTTTGAGACGTTGAGACCAAATCTTTTGAGTCTTTTCTCAAAGATTTTTGATACTGGGATTATACTGGAGTCTTGGAAGACGAGTATTTTAATTCCGATTTTTAAGAATGGTAGGAAGGATGTTCCTGGTAATTATAGAGGCATCTGGCTATCATCATGTGTTTCTAAATTGTTTTGTACTATTTTGTATAAAAGACTGACTCGATGGTTAGAAGTTAAAAATATATTGCATGAAAATCAGGCATGATTTCGGGCTAATTATTCTACATTGGATAATATTTTTGTTTTGTACAGGTTATTCAGAAAACTTTTTTACGGAAACATAGGAAAGTGTATGCATTTTTTGTTGATTTATCTTCTGCCTTTGATAGCGTTTGTAGGAATTTGCTGTGGTTAAAGATGTTGCGTTATGGTTTTAGTTATAAATTTGTCTTTACGCGTTGCTCTGTATGAAAACTCCTCACTTATGGTAAGAGTTGGAGGTAACTGTTCGCCATTAATGTTCTCTAAGACTGGTGTTAAGCAGGGCTGTGTTTTGAGCCCAATTTTGTTTAGTATTTTTTTGAATGATCTCTTTGGCATTATTAATTCTTCTGAGGATAGTATAGAAATAAGTGGTTTTCAGATTAAAATATTGGCTTACGCAGATGATATTGTAATTTTATCTGATTTTGTGGTTGGACTTCAAAGATTGATTGATAAATTGGCAATTTATTTAGATGAAAATGGTTTGAAATTGAATCTGAATAAGTCTAAGATTGTGGTTTTTCGAAGAGGCGGTAAGAGTGCGAGGGCGGATAAATGGTGGTTTAAGGGTTCTCCAATTCAAGTTGTCTCTAATTATAAATATTTGGGTGTTACATTTTTGTCTAATGGTTTATTCCATATGCATTAAATTAATAAGAGAACTCATATTAGATTATTGATGAATAAAATTATTCAGTTAGGGAGGTTTGCCAAATTACGTAATCTGACTGATTATTTATGTTTATTGAAAACTGTGGTGTTGCCCTCTTTGTTATATGCTTCAGAGATTTGGGGTTTTAACTTGTCCAATGGCGATGGTATACAGACTGAATTCATTAAAAACTTATTTTATTTACCGCGTTGTACATCAGGGTATTTAATTATGATGGAATGTGCCTTGACTCCCATAAAATTTATAATATTTAGTAGGATAAAAAATTGGATTACTAGAATTTCTAATCTTGATGATTATTGTCTGAGTAAAGTTTGCTTGAAATTTATACTTGGTAAAAAGTCTATAGACTGGACACGTCATTTTATTGATACCTGTAATAATCATGGTATTAATCTTATTATTGATGATTTGAATTTAATGGACTGGTCTCTTCTCTTTGTTAACATTTTTGATAATTTTTTATATACATTGGGTGATCGGTTAACGAACAGATCGCATAACGAACAAATCGGATAACGAACACTTTCGCGAAAGATTTTTATGTTCAGACAACGAACACATGATCGGATAACGAACACCCCACAGAACAAACACAAGAAGAAGCGACGTAAATTAATGAATACCGATTGGTCTTCCCTTGTCTTCGGGCAACAATTCGAAACTTTTCGGAGTGTGGGAGACGTCGACATCGACGCTCAAGCCGATATATACCGATCGGATATTATTCCTCCGAACTTTGAAACTCTTCCTTGTAATTTCAGCCTTTTATTTTTCTGACAAAACAATTATTTTATGTATTCGTGAGACTGTCGGGTAGGCACTCGTTAAGTTTTGCGTCTGTTTTTCTTTTCGAAAGGTGAGAGTATAATAGCAAAGGTAGAGAGTGGGCAGAAGATGCCTAATGTTGCTGGGCAGTATGGCGTAAACAGGTCTACAGTAGGCTGAAGTTCAATCTTATTTAAGAAACATACTGTATAATCAAGAAGACTCAAGCAGCTAAAGGAGTAACAAAAATCACATCTGAGAAATAAAGAATATCGAACAGTTCATAATGGAACACGAAATGGATCTGACGACAGAAGAACGCCAAGAACTCTTGAATGAAGAACACCAAGAAACTCGGCGAGATATGTTTTCTTCTGAAAAAGAGGATTAATGCCGATATCTTATATTAAAGATCCTTTGAAGAAGTGGGAGGATGTCAGAACAACGGTCTTAGAATGGCATCCAAACCAGGTTAAGGCTTGGGGATTTCTGCAATTGCAATGCTATTAATTACTTACGAAAAATCCTGAAGAAGAGAGAAAAGCAATCGATATTAGACATATTCTTTAACCCTTTCAAACAGAAAAAAAACACGACTAATAAAAACACAAGACTATGTATGTATGTATTTTTATTATCATCAATACATATAAATAAAGGTAGTAAGAAAGTATATATAAAGTATACTAACTAAGAAAGTATACTAAGTAAATAAAAGATTCAACTAGCCCAGTGTTGAGAAAAACGTCACTTCATTGTGCCTGTACACAATAAGAAAGTATATATTTTTTTATTTTGGGGGGTCTCCAGAACCAATTAATCAAATTCCCATAGAAACCTATGGTAAATCGATAATTGGTTCACGAACAATTCGGATAGCGAACAAAGTCTTGGAACGGATTATGTTCGTTAACAGATCACCCACTGTAGTATTAATGAAAAAATAAATAATAGCGTATATAATTGTTGGTATAAGGATTTAAATGTCACTTTTTTTGATAATTCTTTATATAATCAAGATGTTTCCCTTAATATTTTGTCTTTATTTATACAGGCTAGGTGTAATTCATTAAATTTTTTGAATAATTATTTGAGAGAATCGTGTGACTTTTGTGTTGAGAAAGAAATTATGGATGCCTGGCATATTTTGGCTAAATGTGGGCATATTAAAGTGCTACGTGCAGAAATTTTTGGTTGTGAAGTTCTTACCAGGTCTTTATTTCTTAAAATTATATCGGTACTATGTTATCAATTTAAAGTGTTTTGTTTTCTAAGAAAATATGTTGATTTTTTGTTTTTAGGGGTGTGATTCCTCTACTATAAATTTAGCCTTTTCTTATAAATTTAGTCTTTATTTCTTAAAGTTATATCTGTACCATGTTATCAATTTAAAGTGTTTTGTTTTCTAAGAAAATCTGTTGATTTTTTGTTTTTAGAGGCGTGATTCCTCTACTATAAATTTAGCCTTGTTGCTGGTGTTGTTTGGGAGCATCTGCCAGTGCTGTATCTTCGTTATTAACTTATTTCCTTTTTATAGATAAGCAATTTGCTTATTTTTGGTTGTTTTATTTTTATTTATTGGTTTTTTTGAATTTTATTGACAGATGCTTCCAAACTTTAACTTTAAACTTTAACTAATTATTACATTTGATTTTTAAATCTTTAATTTATATCTAAATGGTTATTTATTTAATTTATTATTGTATAATTTGTTTGTGATCTTATGTTCATTGTATCTAAGTGTTTTGTTCTTTGGGAGATGGCTTTGCTCTCCGCATCAGGGAGTGTATTCAGTATGCGTAATGAATAATAAACTAGTATATAGCATCCTATACGATATTCCATGTTTTTACCCATCTACATAAACATGGTGATACTCATCTGAAAACCAAGTGGGTTGAGCGTCGAGCTTTTCCCCACTTACTGGCGGTTCTGTCAGTGATAGCTGTATAGGAAGGCAAAAATGTGAGTGGGGAGGGTTAGCGAGAAAATACAAACAATACAAATCAAAAAGGTTCATGTAATAAGACTCTAAACCTAACTAAGATCTAACTCTAAAGACATAATATTCTCGAATCGTAAGCTATGATTGAGTAAAACGCTCTTGGATCGGCGGTTCCTAATCGTAGTCTTCGTTCTCTTCGGATCATGATTGTGGCGGGAAGACAGGGGTTGCGGCGGACAGAATAGCGGAATAGGTCTGGTGATCCCTGATGTCCGCTGGGCTGTGACCACTGTGAATGTCTGCCAGCTATCTGCTTGGCTGTGTCTGCTTCGGCTGTCCGCCCCGAGGTGCAAGTGCGATCTCTTTTTATACATGTCCCAGNGCTTTGCGTTGAATTTTCGTCGATGTTAAGCCTAACAAAGACTATTGTATCGTTAAAAATTATTTTTTTATTTTGTACAAACAAAATAAATATATTGAAAAATATAAAAACAATAAAAAATTATACTTTAGATGTTAATTTAGTATCAAAAACGTAAAATATTTGAGTAGCCCAAGACATAGACAAAGATTGAAGCTCCACAGCACTGGCGAAAATTTAAATTTGCTGACTGGAATTCTTTCGGATGATTGAAGTTTCGGATGATTGACTTTCGGAAAATCGACGCTCTACTGTATATAAATTTATGAATGATGAATTATTTAATTTTTATTAATCAAAATTAAATTATATTGAATTTAATAATTATTTAAAAATTTCATTTTATTTGAAAATATTAATTTTATAACATTTAAATTAATTGATAAAATCTGAATTTAGATAGATTAAAGCAGAAGAATGGCTCTCATCTTCGGGATAAATCAACTATCAAACGTTTATTAATGTATAAAAATTGCAAGCCAATTAGGTAATAATTTTTGACTTTATACAAACTTTATTAAGCACTTTTTTATATTTACTTTTTTTTAATCAAATTTTTTTGTTACAACAATTATTTTAATTAATGTTTTAAATATAAATTTGAAATTATCATTTATAAATTTTAATTCGTAAGAAACTAGAAAACTCCAAAAACATCATAATTTTATTTATAAAAATTTCATTTTTATTTTCTTAAAGCTTTGATTTTTCTTATAACTTGGAATTTACAATTTTAAGATTTTGAAATACATTGTCAGATTACTTTAACTGGAAAACTAAAACTAAACATTAGAAAAAACTGATTTTCTAAATTCAGCAAAACTGTTTAATGAAACAAGTGATTTTAACTTTCTGAAAACCAACTATAAATTAGCAAAACCAAATGTAATACAGTAGACCCCTCTATAACACAGTAGATACATTTTATGTTATATGAATTCTGTGTTGTACGAGTCACTTAAATACATGAGCCAATCACAGCCCGGCATGTGTGCAGTTTAGGGTCTACGGCTGTTTAAAAGGTTTTCTTCCATAAAATTCATCGATTCTAGACTAATTTGACTCAACATTTCCAAAACACACATAATTTTTTGGGAATAATTTATATAAACTATTCTATGAACAGAAAATTGTAGGGTTACTTACCAAGTGTGCACTGTTTGACAATGCCATTGTTTAAGCTTGTTTTCGTCATGGAGTGGTGCATCGAATGGCAAGTGCGTGTTTTCTGATAAGTTATTTTTTTGCGAAAAATTCGCTGAACTTTGGAGGCATCATTAATAAAAATATAATTTTTATGGCTATTGAATAATAAATGTTTTTCAGTAGGTCCAGTGCTTGTTTAAACTCAACAGTTTGTGCAATATCCACTATTGGTCTAGATTCGATCAATTCTGTCGCGACACAAGTCCTAGAATCCTGTCGCGACACAAGTTGGTGATGATGTTTTACCATATTATACGAGTTTCTTTTAGCGTGTTTATATGAACATGATTGCAATTTTTTTGCCATGTTATATGAATTTGTATTATATGAACCTGTGTTATATGAACCTGTGGGGTCTACTGTATATATATATATATAGGCAACCAAGTCCAAATTATTCTAATAATCAAATGATAATGCTGATTAGCTTTGAAGATAGAACTTTGACTAATTAATATAATAAGTACGGTAGAGCATCGATTACACAAGTCTGCAAAAAAATTTTTCTTCCAGCTGCATGGGATATTTTTGCTGAATTATATGTTTTAAAGATCGTAGATTCTAAAAATGACTTTCATGACATCCCATCATGTATAGGTTTTTTGCAAAATAAAAACAAATTTTTGATAAAAACTCTTATTTATTACAATGAACTAANGGAGAATGGCAATGAGAAAAGAATCAGGATTGTCTTGCTGCTATTATTTGTGCTACTGTTTGTCACTTACACAGGTCTGCAAAAAAATTTTCTTTTCCAGCTGCATGGGATATTTTTGCTGAATTATATGTTTTAAAGATCAGAGATTCTAAAAATAACTTCCATTACATCCCATCACGTATAGGTTTTTTGCAAAATAAAAACAAATTTTTGATAAAAACTCTTATTTATTACAATGAACTAAATATATTATATTTTCTTACAACTAATCAAAAAATTGTTTCTGATACTTATACACAATTTTAGGTCTACTCTTTTTTCTTATGACACCTTTTCTTCTTCTCTTTGATGCTTCTCTGAACTCATTTCTGATTTCCTTCTCTAGTTTCACGATTGAGATCTAACAGTAATCAGCTAACATATCGACATCCCATTTTCCTTGGTAATATCTCTCGATATCACGGTCATCCTGGTGAAATCTTTCACCCTTTTCACCCTGTTCTTCACTGTACACTCCCAAGTTTTTAGGAAAATAGTCAATATGGGAGTGTAAGAAATGAACTTTTAAGCTCATCTTGCATCCTTGAGCTTCATATGCTGCCAGCATGCATTATATAATGGTTTTGTAGTCAGGGTATATTCCCCAAAAACTTATGCACTACATTCTTGAAAGAGTCCCATGCTTCTTTTTCCTTTTCTCCCATTGTTTCCAAAAAGAGGGGATCGGATAAATGGGGTGTTGACTTTTCACCATGTATTCACCACAAACATAACAGAAGCTGTTGGAAGAAATTACACAACCTCTGCAAGCCATATTCCAGAAATAAAAATACAAGCACAGTAGCATTCGAATGCTGGATATAAACTGAGTGTGGCATTAGATGGCCAGCGAGATACTGAACTTATTTAGCTTGTTGAAACACGATCTAATCCAGGGGTCGGCAATTTGTCAAGTGAGAAGAGCCAAATTGTTGTGGAAACAGGATAACAAAAGTACCAGAGAGCTGCATATATGTAATATACATATGTATAGGATATGGATTTTTAGGGGGGAAAAGTTCAAGATGTTTTATTTAAAAACTTAATTAGAACGGTGTCCATGCGTCGCTTTCGATAGCTTTACTATATCTGGCAAATAGCTACTTATTTTTAATTGAATACATGATTTTTTGGCAGCTCTATCTCATAAACTCATAAGTTATAAGGCTGCTTGAGATGAGGTGAAATTGGAGTTTATGTCCAAAGAGCCGCAAATGTCTATGCAGAGAGCCACTCCTGCTGACCCCTGATCTAATCCAACAGCAGGTTGTTTATATTTATTCCTAGTATCCCAGATAACATGTCGAAACATGCTTAACCTCACCAGTAATATTACTCACTATCAACTTTTAACCTGTTTCTACACGATTATGCGACCTTCCTCCTAATGCTAAAACTACTTAATTCATTTCCCCCTACCACTACTCTCTTCAACCATTAACATTTTTATTTATTTATTGCCAAGTCCAGCTATAATTGATAGAATTAATGTGAGAAGTCTTTGTTTTAAGGCCATTTTTTAAATAAATAAAAAGAATACTAAATTTTAAGTTAACTAGGAATTTTATGCTAAATACAAACAACAACTTGAGTGTAACAAAAAAAATTGACGAGATGGAAATTTTTTGGTATTTTTTTTGTTTTTACCACGTTGAAATCTATAAGAAAATGTGTAAAAATCCTGTGCAGTTTTTTACTTGCAGACCTGTGTTATCCGAAACAATTTGGGACTGGTCATTTACGAAAAATATATTAAACACAAAACTGTACTGTATATAATTTGTATCACACATCTTACAAATACATATGTTACATAATGTAGTACATTAAAGTAGGCCTACAGTTTAGGTTAGCAGGGAGGAAGAGAGTGCTGCAACGAAACAGCATTAGCGGAAATTTGAATTTGACGACTGGAATGCTTTTGGTTAACCTATGTTTTGGTTGATTGGTATTCGGATAGTTGATGCTCTACTGTATTACATAATTTGGACTAAAGACATATTGTTAAGCAACTATCATGTACTAAATTTAATAATTATATTAATTTTGAATTAAGTAATTTAGAATGTTCTGAAAGAAAAAGTCTATTCATGATGAGACTTGAACTCAAACTTTTGCTTACCTTATAGATGATAATATGTAATTTGGAAGGGAAGATCAGACAGAGTGGTTCTCTGTCTGATCTTCCCTTCCAAATTAGTGGTATTCATAGTAGAAGTAGTGGATCTCTCAGACTATATACCATGCCAAAGTGAAAGAGTTGTTAAATTGTTCTGTTAAATTGGTGGTGTATATTTGAAATGGTATATTTTCATTTGACTATATTAATATTTCAAAATTAATAGTAGTATTTTAATTCTTAAATACTGATCCTGATTTTAAGCTAAAAATCTGTTATGTGTTTAAAATATAGGATAATCCTAATTAGTGGTAAAATAATTATATAACAAGTGTTTGTTGATCCTTTATACTGGTGATCTTGCAAATTATTAGCCTGTTAAATTTTAATTTTATACAAATATAATTTGTATATATATTTGAACACTGTTAATTCTTTATAATTATATTATTGTTATTTAGAGATAGAAAAGGAAAAATAATTAAAGCAGCTCCCTTTCAGTCAGTCCTTGCATCTGGCACTGTGGCAAGAGTTGCACCAAATCAAAAATGGTTTGGTAAGTAACGTTATAAAGCTATTTTACACTTTGTAGAATTTTAATTAGATCATACAGGAGCTTTGCAGAAAGTAACTGCTGTTTGGTTGTTGTAACAACAATAGTTAGAAAAATTTTATTATATAAAACTGAAACTACAACCTTTGATTATTTTTTTAACATAATTTCTAGCTAAATTGAGACACTTGTTATAATGATAAATAAGTTTCCATCTTTGTAGAATTCTACTGCCTTTGATTGAAGCCATGTCTTAACTCTGGATTATAAATCTTTATCATTCTCAAAGCAATGCGATGCAATCCATTTCTTCATGTGCATGAAAAGTTTGCAATTGTTAGATGCCAAATTAGAGATGTATGAAGAGTTTTCAAACAATTCCAATTGAATTGTTGCAGTAGGGTTTGAGTAAGCAGGCAGGTGTTGTCATTCAAGAAAACCTTTTCAGAGCTCAACATGTCATGATGCTTGTTCTGAATGAATTTTCTTAACCACTTCATCTGTTATCACAGTCAACTGATCACATTGTGATCACAACTGATTCATCTCTTCATTGTGAATGTTGGTCCAACTATTTTTGGACTATATGGCATCATTGTTTCAAACTACTCTCACTCACTATGTTCTCCTTATATACTTTGTAAAGTTGATGATAGATTCAGCCATTTTACCTTTACCTTTTGGCTAAGAGAAATGTTATTACTGAATGTATTTAACAGTTGGTGGGATTCTCAATTACAGCAAACATTTTGAACATGTTATTGAACAAATAACTGACACAAATTTCACTTTATCAATGCTATATGTTTACGTAATTTCTGTGCAAAAACGATGCCTTTATGTCTCATATTTCAATTACTACATGAAAATAGAAGTTACTTTCTGGATAGCTCTCATATATTACACATTTAGTAACAATATTTGTTATTTATTTTTAAATTTAAATTTTTATATTACCACTAAATATACTTGTGTACAACAACAATTGCACTTGATAAAACAGTTATGATTATAGTATTTGAAAAAGTACTTAAAAACTTTTTTGTATTTATGTTATAAGTCAAAATTTAATGTATAAACTAATTCTAATATTAATGTATCATAATAATAACTAATAAAAATTTATAACAAGTTTATTTATTGCTTTATTATTTATAACTAACATTTAAACTAGAAATATTCAAAAGTAGAAGCATTAGTTACTTTTTACATTTAGGGGACTTTGGCAGAGGTCAGATTATAGACCTTTGTGAAGGTGGTTTATCAATCAAAGATTATTGTTGACTGATGGTTAGTTGCAGTTCATTATTTTACATAGAATATGGAACAAATGGATAGGAGAGGGTACACATATCCGTAGATCCAGCCCAGATTTTTAGAGGTTAATTAGTGCAAGATTGTCACATTGATCAGAATTTCATTTTCATACAGAAACATAGTGCAACAAGTAAGATATGCTACAAATGTAGTTGTTGGTGGAAAATTTTCAAGATCCACTGCAAGGAGACATCTACATCAATCTGTGCTTTATTTTTTCTCACAGACCATTGTTGTACTACCAAAAACTTCAATCCACTCAGACGCTTTTTTTTTTATTTCCAGTACTATTTAATAAAATAATGTTTAGAGACAAACGTTTTTGATCTAGGCAAGATCTTCCTCAGATCAATATATCAATAAAATGGAATGCATTTTGGATTGTTAATGAATTTTGGAAAAAATGAAACTTTTGAATACATAAAATGCAAAAAATAGCACAGCATTCACGTAACTACAGAAAAAGTACAAGAAAATGTATAAAAATAAAAAATAAACATTAAAATTGATGTGTCCAGTATATTATTATGACGACTCGATGCTCTTATGTGCTTGCGTCATCAATGTTCTCTTGTGTACACAGTGTTTTCCAAGCATATGACAGGCATTTATCCTTTTTAAAGTTGATACAGTGGCAACTTTTATGCCTTTGTGTCCTTAATAATAGTAATAAATTAATTTAAACACTGATATATTGGCCTTTGTTTTCTGATTTTAAAAATTTCAATGGCTTCAATTTAAAAATTTTTAAAAATTGCACAAGGAAACAACGTTGATGCACGCACATAAGAGGATTGAATTATTGTATTAATATACCAGATACATTGATTTTTAATGTTTATTTTTTATTTTTATACATTTTCTTGTACTTTTCCTGTAGTTCTGTGGATACTGTTCAAGTTTTTGTATTTTATATATTCGAAAGTTTTTTTTTTAATTCATTAACATTCCAAAATGCATTACATTTTATGTTGATCTGAGGAAGATCTATCCTAGATCAAAAACATATTAAACAGTACTGGAAACAAAAAAAAAGGAGTACTGGAAACAAAAAAAAGGCTCTAAGTGGATTGAGGTTTTTAGTAGTAAGATATTACTTTCCAGTCTCACTTGTGTGAAGTTATTTCTCCATATACCATTGTTAACACTACTTTTGAGCCAACAGATCTGTGAGATTACAGGGGTGCAGAGAAAGAATTTTGACAGTAGACATGCTATGGCTATTACTGATGAGTCCTGATTTATTCTTAGCAGAAATGACATGCAGAGATATAATGGAAAAGAGGGCAATTGGCAATTTTATCATATATCATTGGATGGCATACAGTGCAAACTCCCAGAATTATGGTTTGGGCTATTTGTTTCAGTTCTAGTCATTATCCTCAATAGACTTAATGCTCAAAAGTACATAAAAAAGATTTTAAGACTCGTAGTTTTACATTGTTTGGTGCAGCATTCTGTACAATTTTTCAGCATGATAATACCCATTCACATATTGCAAGAATCACTGTTATTACTACACAGTATGGGAAAACTCTTCCCTGATCTTTCTTCACTTTAAAATGTCTGAGATATATTAAAACAACACTTTTAAAGATTACCTCACTCTGCTACCAATCTGACTGAACTTCAATCACAAGTTAAAACAAGCATAATTAAACATCTCTCAGGATGATATTGACCATCTTATTGAAAATATGCCATGCAGAATTAATGCATGTATCATGTAGACATACTTAACTACCATGAAATCTGGACACACTATCCCTCTTCCTTGATTTCATCTCCCCTTATTAACTCATAAACTTATTGCCCCAAACTTCCTACTGTTGAAAGTTGTTCTAATGTTTAGATTTATTAATGTACAATACATGCAATGATTTTTAAGGCACAAAATAGAGCTTGGTCTTTCACTGTGCAGATGTTTATTTTTCCTATTTATTATCATGGCAACATTATTTCATTCAAAATTTCCTCTGTGTAATGTGCACTTTATACACATGTTGAGTCTCACTGTCAAATCTGCATCCACTATTTTTATGCCACAAGTTTCAAAAGTTTCCTTTACTCAGATGTTTTTGCTAAGCTTTACTTTTTCAACCTGCTTTTATGTGGGATCACATAAAAGCAGGTTGAAAAAGTAAAGCTTAGCAAAAACATCTGAGTAAAGGAAAGGAAAAGGAAAAATGCAAGAATTGCTTTTATGTGGGATCACATAAAAGCAATTCTTGCATTTTTACAAGATTTTATATTTAAACAAATTTTATGTGAAGTTTTTTGGATGTTAAGGTTAGCAACTTCAATCACATGCAAGGTCATCACAACCTATTCAACATGGAATACTTTTCAAATATTAATAATAGACCAATATTAATTAGTAGTCGTTGACATCCTTTCTTCCAGGAGGAGGTCAACTACTACTTTTGTTTGAATTTACTTCAACCCCCTTCTGCAATACTCCCTTCTTCCTATTGGACAAGCAGTAGGTGGTATTCGAATAGGAAAATTTCATAATGCAAGGTTACCACTAAGCACAAAATATGATTTAAGTGGTTTTTGAGGATGCCAAGTTTAAATATTTGGTCCATTTTTGTGAAATTTGATTCATTGGAAGATTACCATTTGATACTACATGACCAATAAAATTGTGGCATTTCATACCATCCAAGTATTGTGTTAAACATAACAATGGTAGGCTAAAATAACTAAAATTTTTTATTTGGATTTTGTTTTAATTTTTCTTATATTATAGTACTTGATTTATATAAAAAGAAAGGTTATCTTATGTAAGGGTTTATCACACCAAATGACCAATCTAACACATTTAAAAATTCATTAATCCTCTACTGTACACAATTTTAAAAATTTTACCAAATATTATAATGTAATATAATAGAAGGGTTAAAAATATGAAATAATCTAATAATTTTAACCTTTGTTTTTATTTTTTGCTGAGCAATACTGGACTTACCTGCTAGTTGCATATTATTTTAAAATAAAAAAATATTTAAATTTCATGTTTATAAAATTTGTTGATTTAAGAGTTTTATTATTGAAAATTAAAATACATATATATATATTATAATCAAAAATATATATATAATTTTGACTCTGTATTAGGAAATACAAGAATTTTAACTCAGAATGCTCTTCAAAAATTTCAAGAAGAACTTGGAAAAGCAATAAAAGATCCATATCAAGTTGTTATGAATCAAACCAAATTACCTGTCTCTCTTCTTAATGAAAGTTGTAAAGTAAGTAAAAGATATTTTATACATTTATTAATATTAATTTCCAAAAATATAGAATCTTGTGTAATACTTAGTTAACTTATATTTCAGACTTAAAATTTTTGTTAGCTCATCAGCCAGGAATTTCTTATTCTGTACATTTATGAATTAACTAGCTGTTACCTGTGACTTTGCCCGCTCGGATTTTGCAAGCAAACACCATTTATATTCACTATTTCAACAACCATAGTAATTGTTATATAACACCTACCGCTGAGAATGANTGTAAAGTAAGTAAAAGATATTTTATACATTTATTAATATTAATTTCCAAAAATATAGAATTTTGTGTAATACTTAGTTAAGTTATATTTCAGACTTAAAACTTTTGTTAGCTCATCAGCCAGGAATTTCTTATTCTGTACATTTATGAATTAACTAGCTGTTAGCCGTGACTTTGCCCACTCGGATTTTGCAAGCAAACACCATTTATATTCAGTATTTCAACAACCATAGTAATTGTTATATAACACCTACCGCTGAGAATGATGAGAATTGCTGAGAATCAAACAAACTTTTCAATTTGATCAATTTTCTGGAACGTTTACAATCATTCTATAATCGAACCAATATACAATAACAAATTCAAATTTAAAACGGTTCAAACATCTGATTAAAAAATCAAAATATATAAAAATATTTATAACAATGTTCGAAATGTTATCAATTTAATACACCTAAGTACTCAATGAAGACTAGACGTAGTTGAAAACAAAAAATTGCATCTAAAATAGTACAGAAGAAGCTGTTCTTCAGGTTAAGCCTTAATCTTTTCCCCCTCTCCACGGGGGGGAATTTCGAAAATCCCCTTCTTAGTATGATGTACCCTAACTGCGTACAAAATTTCACCTCTTTAGGTTTAGCAGTTTGCTCTGGGCAATGATGAATCAGTCAGGACAAGTNGAAGCCGTTCTTCAGGTTAAGCCTTAATCTTTTCCCCTTCTCCACGGGGAAAATTTTGAAAAACCCCTTCTTAGTATGATGTACCCTAACTGCGTACAAAATTTCACCTCTTTAGGTTTAGCAGTTTGCTCTGGGCAATGATGAATCAGTCAGGACAAGTAATTTTATATATTTAGATTATATGCATAATTCAGTAATTGAACAAAGGCAAATTATAGTATTGTGTATACTTGTTTTAGAGAGAGTCATATTTCTACTTTATAATTTGTAAAAAAAATTCTAATAATGAAAAATGACTAGATATGATTATAGCATTGTTAGATAAGTACATTGAATAACAACATGTAAAAGAAATTTTTATTTATATATTTAGGAAAAGATAACCTAATATCAAAAGTTATATTTTGCAAAAAATTCTGTACAAATTACTTGTACCAATGAATTGTAGGAACTTTTTCTGTTGATCATTATTTTGAATTCTTAAAGCATTGCTATATAATTTCTATTCAGGCATAGATTTAATTGTTTTGCTGTGCTATCTTTTTAACTAACGGAATTTTTTTATTTTGTTATATTGACATTTGCATTTCCTTTCATTTTATGAGAACATATACAGTGAAACCTCCATTAACGGACACTCCCAAATAGCAGACACCTCTACTTAACAGACATTTTTACAATTCCTAGACCCTTCAAATGGGATCTATAATATTTATTTCTAAATAGCAGATACTCTAAATAACTGATGCTGTTGTCCATAACCTACCTTATGAAAACACAAAGTTTTGCCTTCAATATTCTGAAAGAATTAATTACATATGAAACATTCTAAAATGAAAATAAAGAATCAATTCATTTACTCTTTCAGACCATGAATTTTGACCATAGGACTGACTTAATAGGAATAGGGCATTGAATAAGGACTGACTTAAAATAGGAATAGGGGAGGAGGACAGATTGTAAAAAGCTGATCAATATTCTTTATCTGTTAGACATGGTTAAGTCATCAATCACCATTTATTGTCATACATATCAATCTTATTAAATTTCTGTATTATTGGTGGAATTAAGTTTATGGTACCAAGAAACCATAAACTTCTCCTGGGTTATTCATTCATTTGATAAGAATTGTAGTACAGTAGTAATGAAAAAGAAACAGTTTTAAGGTTATGACAACAATGTTTATTTGGTGAAAATTTAAAGATCATGTTACAAAGGTGATTTGCCCACCACTTTAAAGTGTAGGAAGATATTCGGTTTTCACACATTTATGATGTAATTTATAATCTTAACAGCTTGGTGGTGGTTAAAGTGTAATTTTTAATAAATTATTTATTGAAAAAAGCAAAAATATTTGTAAAATTACACCTGCTTGATAACTACAAAGCAGACAAATCACTATATTGATTTTTATTAGTCACTTCAATCATAAATGATGTTATAAATGCAAGAATATCAAATTCATTTCTTTCCCCTTAAAGTGGCCAGCAAATTGCCTTCGTAACTCATTTGAACTTTCATTGCTTAAACTGACCTTTGTCCACCCTTCTGTTCATAATAACAGTTTTGTTTTTCTTTTTAATTACTTCCACCCAGGTCATTTCTGATGAATTAATAATTAATCAATATTTATGTTTTGTCATAATTTTTATGTTTCATTTATCAAAGTATCATGTTCAATCTGTTTGCTATTTAGAATTCAATTAAAATGAGATTTATACAGCTTTGCACATTCTTAATGCAAATTTGATGTTTATGTAATCCATCATATTCTTCACTAATGATAGCCATGTTAAAATATAGTATGGTTGTTAGTTTGTACCTCCTGATAGTGGACACCTCTAAATAGTGGACAAACTTCTTAGTCCCAATGGTGTCTGCTATTCAGAGGTTACAGTATAGTTGATGAAGATTAAAAGATAGATTGGATGATGCTGCCAATGTTTCAAATCTTTTGATGAAACTTAAAATTTTTAAATTCTATTTTACTTAACTAAGCTCTTTCATATATAGACAATTCTGCTTGAATTATTTGAATGATCAAATGATAAGGCCAGATTAATTATCAGGCTGATCTGGACTAAAGTTAAGCCACCTTGTATTAAATTTAATAATTATGTTAAGTTGTGAAAAAAACAAATTAATTTAGACTATTCTGGAAAAAGTGTAGTACAAATGATGTAATATCTACAGAATTAATTAATCAAGTTCTAGTCCAATAATTAATCCAGCCTAATCATTTGGTGAACAGTTCCTTTTACTTTTAATAATCTTATAAAAGTTTTTTATAAAATATGTTTGAAAAAATTTAATGAAACAATTAAGTCTGGCTAGCATTAACTTTATGCCAGCTAAAAAAAACACTACACAGTTAGCAACCACAATATGCATCCAAGTTCTGATCACTCAAACAAAAATGACTTGTGTTTTTACTATAAATGGAAACAAGACAAACAAATGTTAGGATTCTCTTAGTTAATTAGTAAAATGGATATTCTTTCCATAAAGAGTTTACATGTATTAATTTTTTATTCTGTTCAGCTTTATGCTATAATTAATTTTTTTTGTTTTTGTTTTTGGTGTAAGTTTCATTATATTCTTTAAAATTAAAAATTATTATAAACTATATTTTGCATTTTACAATTTGCATATTCTGCATTCATATTAAACAATGCTCAGATATATTTAAATATTACCTTTTGTAATTATTCATTATGTATTTATTGTTCTAATATAGAATAAGAGAGTTCATATACTGGAAACTGAAAGCTTTACGAGAACATTTGGACCAAAAGCACAAAGAAAACGCCCAAATGTAAAAGTCACAGATCTTGAAGTAAGTAGTATTATATAAATAAATAAAATAAAGAAAAAATTAAAAATTTGTTCCAAGTAAAAATATCTAATTAATTCTTTATTAATTGTTTATAAAATGATTAAATTTATGGTGTTTTAAATGTAATTAACTGTAACAGGGTTCATAACAGAGTTACTTTTAGTAAATAATAATAATTTTTTTTACATATTTAATTATTAGAGTTACTTTTTTCCATTAAATTTCCAGGATACTTTAGAACAGAAAGAGCTAAATTATTGCTATATTTTAATTGACCATGTGTGATATGTCCTTAATTAATCTTTTATTATTGAACTTTAAACATTCTTTGTGAATAAAATATTAGTTTGTGTGATTATAAGTTAAATAAAAAAATTGAAAGTAACAAAACATCTTTTAAAACTTTTGATTGAAATGCAATGCAAGTTATTTCCATAATAGACTTTATTTAAAAGCTTATCTGCTGTCATATTCTATATTTTGGAAGCTTCTTTAATTAGAAATATGTTTTAAGAAAGTTCTGATATAAGCATATGACATTACAAAGTAGTGACTAAAGTTTTTCAGTGTAATGTAATATTTTTCTCATCATTATTGCAAATTTTTATCTATGAATTGCTAAAAAATGAATCATTTACAGTTTCTTCATGTAGATCTCAGCTTCATTTATTGATAGTAAGAATAAGTATTAGTTTATTTTACACATGTTATACATATATCACACAATTGTTTATTCATCTTATTTCAAGTTTGGGGATTGTTTCTAGCTTCACACAAAAGGGGCACCTATACAATCATCCATAGTCAGTGAGTTTGCCAAATTGTATTTGCAGTTTGTTGAACCATCTATAATTGAACAGTATAAGGAAGAAATATTACTCATGTTAGATATATGGTGGAGGTTTTAACTATTATAAAATGGCAAAAAGCTTAATTTTGAGGGTAGGGATGGGTTTTATAAAAAATTGTAAATACTAATAATGAGTAAAATCATCATTAAGTCCAACCCTACTGGAGATACACATGACCCCCTTTATCTCCCCACTCCCTCAACCTTTAATCACCAAAATTTAAAAGCATCGATCCTCCTAATAAACAAATCTCCCTGCAAAATTTCAGAAATTTTGACAAAAAACACGGAAAGCTCCAAAGAGGGTGAACAAAATTGTGTCCCCTTCACATATACATACACTTACACACAGACACACTAACATCCATACAAACAGAAAACCCCCAAATTTTTTTGCATTTCTCAATGTTTCAAGGTCCCCTAACCAAAAATGTAAAAATCTTAGAGAGGTCATTTTTTTTACCAATTGCCATACTTTCCCTCTGTTAAATATAACAGATGGGAAAGTAAAAATGGAATAAGGGGAGAAGTTTAAAGTCATTTAGAAGTTCCATGAAACTTCTAAAGAAACATACTAATGATGGAAAAGGAACTCTCAAGATTATATCTGTAAGGAAAGGATCAGTCTTTCAAAGAATTCATAACAACAAGGATGCTAGAAAGAAAAGTGGAGTGGGAGGAAGGAAAGCATATGTAGGGAGAACTCTCAGATCCCTAAAATAAAGAATAAGCGAGCACAAAGAATTCCTCAAGAAAGGAAAAATTAACCTTGTGAGTTAGTCAGCTATGGTGCTATCCCTATGTAGTGGAGAATAAACGTGGGAAATTTTGTAAGTATTTTTCCACGTTTTTTCTCATTACCATTTTGGAAAAACATTATGTAAACAGTTATGTCTAGTAAAGAAAATTTTTTTTATTGTTACATAATTCATTTTTTAGGTACATTTTTTTTTTGCGGTAGTTTTTGGCAATATCCGCAAAATTCTTTTGCAGATATATCCGTCCTTCACCACTGCCACACGATTGCCCTTGACTGATATATCTGTCGGTCATTGCTGAATGGTTAATGTTGCCTTGGCGGAATATGTTTATTTGAGTAACAGAGCAGAACCACAATGGAAGTAGGTGAGCCTAGGATAATCATACCAGAAAAAAGGAATATGCCAACAAGAATAGTTGAAGAACTGGCAATAGTCAATAAATGAGATTGCATGGTTGACAAGAAGAGGGAGGGAATGGCGTGGATCTTTGGTCTTGGTACCAAGAAAGGATTCTCTTAAATATAAAGATCTGTAAAAATTAGCTTAGAAATACAGGAAATTAGAAGATATGATAAGAAAATGTGAGAAGCCCATACTAGGTGAAGGTTAGAATTTATTGTGATATTATAATATTTTAGATGTGGTTTTTTATGTTTTTAAATAAAAACGTAAATGTTCATTTGTTCAAAATCTTAAATCTCCGAAAGTTCTTAACCGATTGCTTTGAAATTTTGACACAATGTTGTATTCGAATACATGTGTGTTTTTATATTATATAGATGTCGAAATTTCCCCCGTGGGGGAGAGGGACAAAATTAAGGCTTACCATGAAGAACTCGTCTTCTATTATAATATTTTAGATGTGGTTTTTTATGTTTTTGATTGTGTTTTAATAGGATACGTTAAGAGAATGTACACTAAGAAGGGATTTTTCGAAATTCCCTCCCGCGGGGAATGCATTTATAATAGATACATTTTGAGCCATAGCAACATGTGGCCGGGTACAGCTAATTAGTGTAATACAAAAGATCATCTGATTAAATTTGAATTGTAAAAATTGTTTGCAAATAATTAGTAAAGTTTTACTCTGTAAAAAACTCATGAGAATAAGGGCATGAAGATTTGTTGTTTATAAATTTTAATTTAATTAAAAATTTTTGTAACTTTGAAAAGGTGATATGTTGTTTTAGAATTTGAAACTAATTTTCAAAGGTTCTATAGGAAATATATTTTGAATTTGAAAGTGTTCTATTGAAAATTTGTTTTAGAATTGCAAAATCATAAAATGAAATTTTGAATTAATAGTTCGATTGTGTGAAAGTTTATATTACTTGTGGTTGTTTAATTCTGTGGGATTGAAAAGGTATCTGATGATGTATAAAAAGGATCTTTGTAAATGAATTAGCATCTTTTATGTGGTTAACTGTATTAGAAGGGAAAAAAATTCACTTATTTTTTTAAAGTCAAAATATGTTTGATTTTTAAAAATTGCAAGCAGATTTTTATTTCTTTCGAACTTAAATGTAGCAAAGTCAAATATTTATAAAGAAAAAATGTATATTTTGTAATTTTAAATGTGAGATTAAGGAAAGATGCCAAATACAGTAAGATCCTGAAGTAAAGATTACTTCATTGAAAAATAATTTTTAAATTTTTCTTTACTTTATGTAAAACTTATAAATTTTTACAGATTAATAAATATATACAATATAATCTCTGAATAGCAGACACTGTCTGGATCAAGAAGTTTGTCTGCTATAATTATTATTATTGCTATTTAGATGTACAGTACATGCTGGCGGCTATACTGTATCTTAATTAACTTGGTCATCATATAGTGGAGAATACGATGGATTATGAAAATATCAAATTTGCATTAGGAATCTGAATATACTGAAAAGTATACGTAGCATGTATAATTAAAATATATATACAATATATTATTTATTTTTTCAGCTATAAAAATCTCGTTTTAATTGAATCTTGTTCAAATGTCAAATTATGAAGGCAATTTGCTATCCACTTCAAGGGGTGGGAAATATATTCAGAATTGTTACATTTATAATGTCATTTATGATCTAAGCGACTAATAAAAATTGATAGAGGGATTTTTCTGCTTTGTAGTTATCAAGTACTTTTTAAACTTTTTGAGCAATTTTGCTCTGAAAAGAGCAAAATTGCTCAAAAACTGATTCATTAAAAATTATCCTGTAGCCATCACAAAGCTGTTACGACAATAGCATTTGTTTGGTGAAAGTTCAGAGGTCGTGTCACAAAGGCGATTTGTGAACCACTATAAAGTGTGGGAAGATATTCTGTTTACTTGCATTTATGATCTTAAGTTTCTTCTTCATTACTACTGTATTATAGTTCTTGTTGAATGAATGAATGACTTTGGAAAAGTTCGAGCTTATGATACCAAAAAACTATTGTCGGGATAAAAATCGTCTGTCATGCGATTTCCCACGCTTTTCCATTCATTCGACGAGCGATGGTTGTCACCATGGAAACGGCAATCGGACCACTTTTGAAGACTCGACCACTGATTGGTTGAGAGACATCGGACTCGGACCATTGGCGGATGTTGTGTAGCGCTGCTAAGCGCTGATTGGTGGAATCCAATTCGGCTTAAATCCATATAAAAGGATTGAGTTATGGTGGGAAGTTTAGTTTGCCTTGGACGCATGAAGGGAACTCATGTTTGACTTTAGTTCGCCTAAGCTGGCCCCAAAGATTGTTTCGTCTCATTGGGCTGTAAATGACTTTAGAGTTAGTTCGTTGCAAGATGTCTTTTCGACGGACTTGTTGTAGTGGATAAATGTGTTGAACTTTGTTAACATCTGACGTTTTGTAAATGTTTGTTTTGTGAACCTTTGTAACTGTACATATGCTTACTTTCAATATATATATAAGTTTTTGAATTTATCTGGCGTATGTGTGGTTTTGAACTTGACTACTATAATTTCAACAATAAGACAGAAGTTTAATAACATTAATATGTATAATGATAAATGATGATTGACACCTTAACCAGATTAGTCTTCTTTTACAAATAAAAGAAAATTGTTTGACTTCTTATAACCTCCCTCCTCCCCTATTCCCAATTTAAACCAGTCTTTATTTGATGCCTGTGTTCAAAATTTGTCATCTGAAAGAGTATTTGAACAAATTTTTTATTTTTGTTTTAAAATATTTTGTACATAGTTAATTCTTTCAGAATATTGAAGGTGGGACATTGCATTTTTGTAAGTTGGTTATGGATGATGGCATCCGTTATTTAGAGTGCCCACTATTTAGAGGTAAATATAATAAATGTCTTATTTGAAGGGTCTGGTGATAGTAAAAATGTCTGTTAAATAGAGGTGTCTGCTATTTGGGAGTGCCCGTTAAAGGAAGTTTCACTGTATTATATTTTCACAATATAAAAAATTATGTTTTTACCTTCTTATTTAAGAACTATAAATATAATTTTGTATTTACAGAGAAATACCAAATAAAATTTATTTATCTATCTATTTACAATATTATTTCTTAAGTTATAGATTAAGAGTTTTGAAAGTTGCTGTAATTATTATATATATTTATTACTAAAAATTACTGAACAGACTAAATAGATATATAAATGCTAATGTACATAAATTTATATTTAGAGTCTAGTATCAGAAATTGAAAAGTCTACAAATAATTATTCTGAAGAAAATGATAAAGATTTAGTAACTGAGAATGAAAAACTGAAACAAGAACCTAGAGAAATGATAATGTTTAAAGGCCAGTCTAAAAGAATCTGGAATGAATTATACAAGGTAGGTGAATTGAAATATTACTTCAGTTTTTATCATTATGAATATATAAGTTGAAAGCTTATAACTATCTAAGATACTGTTTACTTTGATAGAGAAATACTTGTGTTGACACAATTACATAAGTTAATGAATAAAAATAATTTAAATCAGCAATTCCCAAATTGTGGTCTGTGGCTCTTTGGGTACCAACAAGTGAACAAATTCTTAGGGAAAATGTAAAGTATTCCAAATTTTCCAGGGAAATTAGAACTTCAAGTTGCAGAAGATGGTAAATGATATTTTTAAAATGCTGAATGTGTTGAATCTCTTTCTCTAAGGCAATAACACGAACATTTGGAAACTCTGAGATTTTAGCCTTTAGAAACGTTACTACTATGCAGAAGAAAACTGAATGATGGTGATGGCAAAGACTGTTTTCTCATGTTGTAACAGTTTGCTACACCTAATGAATTTAGTTTGATCCACCAACTTAAATATATTTCTGAAAAGCATCTGACAAATTCAGTGACTGGTTTGAAAAATACTTTTCAGAAGATGTGGAAAAATTTGCTTGGATCTAAAATCTGTTCAATGCTAAGATTTTCTTCTTCTGAATTAGGTGTCTTCAGTAATAAAATTTAGCAGCATAGAGGAAACTGAGTTAGGATATCAGTAAAAGATAAATATCAGCTTGTAAGTGCTAAAACTCACCAAATTATAATTTTATTTGTGACATTATAACTGTAAAACTGGATTTCATAAGTTGCTGTTATTTTATCAAGTACTATGAGAAAATCAGTATGAATCAGGAAATGAGATTGGTAGTCTCCAGTTTGATTCCAAGGTTTATGAAGCTGTGCAGTATCCAACATATGTGCACATTTTTTTCATAACTGTAATTATTTAAAAATGAAATATGAATAATGGATTTTCTCAATTTGTGTTTATTATTATTTCAAATGGGCTACTAAATTGTTAAAATATAAATAGCTATTAAACTGTTTGGACTCAACTACTAAATAAATGAAATTATTCTTTTGGCCTAGGTATGTCATGATAAATTTGTTAAGAGACTAAGGATGTTATGAACTAAGGTTGGGAACCACTGATTTAAACTTATGACTATAAAAAATGATATGTTTAGAAAGTTCATTAGATATAATTTAAAATTAACTAAATGATTTAATGACTGCAGTCTAATCTGGTAAATAACCATTTGATATAGTTATTAGAATGTAAATCTCAATTTAACAACATATTATCAATCTGTTTGAAAATATTTTAAAGACATTGTCATTGAGAGCTACATATATTTGGAGTGTTTTCTTTAAAGGCCATTTATTTTAATAAGGATGCTGTAAAATATACTACTACTGGAATATGTTTTAATTTATGTACTGTACAGTAAGACATTCTTCTGAATTTATTAAATTCAATTCATTTGATTTGATATTAACAGTTTTAAACCAAATTAAAATATTAATTAAATTATCACCAAGGAACATATGAACAAAGAAAAATAACCAATTGCAACTATTATTGCCACTTTTGAATAAATATAATGCTTAAGATATTACTTCTAAGATTTTATGCTATTAGAGATTATTAAAGTCAAAAAATTCTATCTTCATTCAAACTAAAATAGTAAATATTAATAATAATAATAATAAATGTATCATCTTATATACATTATCTCTGGTAAGATGAAGAAATGACTCTTGTTTGACTTTTCTATCACTCTTAACAGGAGGTTAAGGGGATCATTAGGAAGTCTAATAAATTTTATATCGTAGTATAATTGAAAATTAAGTAATAATAAAAGCTTTATTGAAGTAAATTTATTGAATTATGATAAAAATCTGTTTAAAAACATTAAAAAATTAGCAATTAAGACAAAGTTAAAACTGTATATGTTGTATGAGATTTTATTATAAATAATTTTTATATTATTAACTAGCTATATCCGGCCACACGTTACTGTGCCTCAGTCTGGTTAAATGGAAAAGAAAGAAGAGAGAAAGCACACATTTCTAATATGTTTAATTTCACAATGCTTGTGGGTATACAATATTTTTTTGTTGTTCCATTGTCTGTGCAGATATAGAGATTGTCTGGTTTGCCGACTCTAGAACACGCAGCATATAATTGTCCATGTGAGAAGCAATCTGTGTCTAGATCTAAACTGCACAATTGCACAAAGCTCAGGGGCAATTGTAAAGATTGGCCCTGAGCTTTATTGATGGTGATTGCAAATGCCAATTGAATTGGGAATTGTAATCTCTTAAATTGAAATGGCATATCTGTTGGAATCATAGGAATGCGAGGAATGAGGATATCTTCACCTTTGAAAGGTCCTGTCAAGATTGTTGGTTCTACGACTTTGTTCATTAATTTTTTTACTGCAAGCTGCATGCCGTTTCAAAGCTTTGGCTGGCTGATTTTCATTGCAGTATGTGCAGTGGTATCCATGACTGATTGAGTGAATTCAAAAATTCTATTGAATAATTAACCGCTTCATCTGCTTCCACAATAGTGTCGATGGACTTGTATGTGACTGCCTTGCTTTGAATGTTAGACTGAATAATAATGTTAAGTTTGTAGAGGTCTTTGTTCTTGGCCTCAAGAATAGCTCATTCACTCAGCCAATCATAATTTTTATAATTAATTTTTATAATTGGGAAATACTTTTTGAACCAATTCTTCTTTTGACATTACAAGATTGCAGAAGTTACTAGGCAATGAAATTCGTTCTGAGGTGATATCAACTGGCACCTTTCCGTTCCCAATTTCCAGCAGTTGATGTGAGAATATCTCAGCTGATCGATTGTTTTACAGTTGGACGCACATATCTGTAGTTAATTTTAACGTCTTTATGTGTTGCCACAAGAGTATTTCAGGCAAGCATTTATTTCATCTGCTGGTGTTGATAGAGGAATTACAGGTAATGTTTGCGTGAAATCTCCTGCAAGAAATATTAATGTGTTCCCAAATGGTCTGATATTTCCACGCAAATCTTGCAATGATCGATCAAGAGCCTCAAGCGATTTTTTTTTGTGCGCTATTGTGCATTCATCCCAAACAATAAGTTTGCATTTCTGCAATACTTTTCCCATGCTGGATGCTTTGGAAATGTTGCACATGGGAGTTTCAATGAATTTCATGTTCAATGGCAATTTCAAAGTGGAATGAGCAGTTATTCCACCTGGTAGCAATGTTGCAGCTATTCCAGATGATGCAAGAGCTAAAGCTATGTCATTTTGGGATCAAATTGCTGCCAGAATCAATGTAATTAAGAATGTTTTACCAGTTCCTCCTGGTGCATCTAAGAAGATTTCTCCAACCCCATTATTGACAGTTTGCATTATTTGATCATAAATGCCTTTTTATTCAAGCGTTAGCTTACAAGTATTTGATTACACATAGGACAAAAGATCACTTGTGTTGTAATTTTGTTCACGATGCAATTCTATATCGAATGAAGCAGCAGCAGATTGATTTGGTGATGGCATTTCCAATTGATTGAGAACTTTGAAGATTTGTGCTTAGAAATTGCGAACAATCATTATCAATGCTTCATTGTAGATTTCTGCTGTAAAATCCATGTTCATATTTGAATTTTTCTTGCTTATTCAATGGAAAATATCTTCAGCCATATGTGATTTATATTTCTCCCATAACTCTGTCAGAGATGAAGGAGAGCAGACGGTCAGTATGCTTGCAAACAATGCACGAATTTGATTTGGATGTGACGTGTTGCATGCATCATTAATGCATACATACATCTCAGTGTTGGTCGTTCTCCAATAAATTCAGAGCTTGACATGCACTACAGAAAGTGGCATATGTAATGTCGTTGACAATTTTCAATTGCTGGAAAGACGTTGGACTGGGAACATTTACCAACAGCATGCGAAGAAAGAAACATTTATCTTATCTTGATTGGGATGCACAGTGCACAGTCTGCCTATCATAATTTCTTTGAATATGCAAGGTTGTCTGTCAACTCACTCTACTCATTTTCATTATTGAAATGATTTTCTACTCGCATTTCGTGTGTAATACGTAGGCTCTTCCGAATACAGCAGTTTTTTTCGCAAACACGTCATTTTGACATAATGTGAAGAAAACAGTTAACTTTGTAGCTGGTGTATTCAGGGCTATTTGTTGCACATTTTCAGCTGTGAAATAAATGCTTTGTCCATTTTCTAGATGCACTGCTAAGTGAACAACAGCTGGACTTCGTTCATGTATGGGAAATGAAAGAATTTGCCATACAGTTTCATTGCTGCTTATGTATCTTCCAGCCTGATACTGTGCTATTTCATCAATATGTATGACTACATTCCTATCACTTCTTTCTGGTTGCACACCAAAAACTGTCATGTCACTGCTTTTATTCAAGTACTTACAAATATATTTAATCAATTTAATGGAGTTACAGTATTCCACGTTTATGTGTGCTTTGTATGTTTTTGATAGCAAAGGCGAATATGGAACAACTCACCGGTTATCTACTTTGATGTCACCGTTTCATGTTTGTATGGTTGCTAATTTACCCCATCATCTTCTGCTGATTTTCTTCTGTATAAAGGATATCCATTGTTTCCTGTAACTGTTTTGGATACTAATGCTCGAGGATATCGCTTAGAGCATTTTCTGTCTATCAAGCATGGTGAATTTGGATTCAGTTTACCACAAAGTCCTTGTATCATATTTTTTGTCACAACTTCGTGCAAATCCTTATTGACATTGGGATTGGGTATTTCAGCGCATATTACATCATCAATTTCGTTTGAAGTGATTTTGTTACAAAGCTAAATTAGTATATGTGCGTGTGGCAATCCTCTCTTTTTTACATTACTGAGTACAGTACATCCAGCTGTGAATAGACCCAAACACTTCATGTTTTACCATGAAATCCATCAGCAATTTCTTTTTCTGTCTGAAAACACGTGCTGTGATGTCATGCCTATCCACTGGCGATTGTCCAGGAAGTAAGAGCTGTTGTATATCGTCCCAAGCTGGATTGCATGTGAATGTAATGAATAGGTCTGTATGGCTGTAGTGATGAACATACACAATTGCATCTTGAGCATACTCATGCATATGACTGGACTGCCTGTATATGAATCATTAGTCATTTACAACTGTATCTTGCAAATGAAACATATTCTTCAGAGCAAAGCTTGGTCTGATTCAAACGGATGAATATCAAATGTTTTATTTTGATTTTTGCATACATATCTACAATGTATTGGTGAAACAATTGATGGCATTTCAAAATGTGATTGTCTTCATTTTGTCAAATCATTAATCGATATGAATAATAGTTCATTGTGCTGCATTTCATATTTGTTTCTTCACAAGTGGATTTATCATCTTGACATTGAAGTGATAGCCATCAGCACCATCCCAAAAAATGATTGGATATTGCTGGACATCGTAGCATCAATGAGTTTCTGCAACTTTTGTCAATTGATTGTTTCTCTGATGAACAACAATATTTCTAGGTTGGAATTGATCTCCAACTATAACAATTACCACTTCATCTATAGTTTGAGCATTGAATCTTCACAAGTGTTCTCCAGCAGGCATTTTGTCATAATAAATAACAATCTTGTGTGTATCAGATGGCATCATGTCAATTGTTGTTTGGAACAAACAAAATAAATTGTTTTTTTTTTTTTTTCTGTGAAGAAGGTCTTGCAGTTGGGAAACAATGGACCTTTTTATGCTGGTAGAAATTCCGCAGCATGCTTTGGGATGGCGCCGCAGCAGCATTGTCATCATTGATGAAATATATTTGTAGGAATTTGTTGAGCATCTGGGAATGGAAGCAGGGAGCCGACTTTGTGATACGTTTATCCTTTCACTTTGAAAGTTGGCATGAATTAAGCTGTTAAGAATTCTGTGCCAAATGATGTAATTTGGAAGCATGAGTTGTATTTCCTGATGTTAGATAGGAAATGCTCTGATTTGTAGTATATCTGGTATGCAAAGTTTTTAATGGCTCTGGCGGTTCTCTAAGTTGAGGCAGTTTAATTTTTCCAGTGGTGCAATACATTCATTTCTCCATTAAATTTCAGAGCCTTGCAATAAGGACATACTTCAGTCATAGTGCCTATGAGAACATGCCAACTCAAACTATAATCATCATCTGGGTTGTACTGGAATGCAGGGCAATTGTAATCGCGTGATTGCTGAGCATGGAGTTGTGTTTGACACTGATCTGCTGTTTGTCATTGACGTCTTTCAGTCACTCTCAACCTGTCGCGTTTCTTCTGTTGAGAACAAAGCAGATCTGAAGCTGCAGAACACAATCACCATGCTCGCAACCATGCAGCCAGACAGCATGGTTGCGAGCATGCAGCCAGTCTGCACTCAAGTCTGGCTGCACGTCGCTCTGCCGCTTCCTTGGCATGTATTTGAGCTATTCTTTGTCTGTTTCGCTTGTTCGCTGATGTCTGTTCTTCCTCAGTTTGATTTGCAATTACTCGTCATACTGCTTCCGCTCCGCGAGTACATTGACCTAAGTTTGATGTTCTGCAAGACATTATTTGGATGAACTAAAGCAGATCAATTGCTCTGAAAAAGAAGAAAAAGTTATAACAAAAACATATAAAATTGCAAAGCATTAAAAAACAAAGAAAATAAAAATACTAATGAAATATTTCAATTCAAATGCAGATCAATCGACACAGCTCAATTCCACTGGCAATTGCACTGAAAAGTAAGAAAAACAGTTAAAAAAATGAAATAAAAAACAATGAAAAAAAAAAACTATAGGCCTACTCATGAAGTGAACACTATGGTAAAAGACACAGCTCAATTCCAAGGCAATGTCACATGAAATAATGAAATCAAAATGAAAATAAATCAAAATGTATGAAAATTTAATTTAACAATGCAATCGGAAACATTGAAATGGAATGGTAAAATATTTAGTATAGAGTGTGTTGCTTTTACGTCCAACAGATGTCGCTGGTTTTAAAAAAAAACATGTTTTTATCTGTCACAGGTGTGACATCTATATAATAGTAGGTATATAAAAACACGCATGTATTCGAATGCAGTGATGTGTCAAAATTTCAAAGCAATCAATGAAGAACTTTATAATAATCTATATAAATAAAAATCTAAAAAGGCAAAAGCTTAATTTTGAAGTTAGAGATGAGTTTTTAAAAATATTGTAAATGCCAATAAAGAGTAATATTTTTATTAAGTCCAACCAAACTTGAGATATGACATGTGACTCCACCACTAAGTTTTTTTTTTACATTTTTAGTCTTGAGTGTCAAAATATTGAAAAATGCAAAAAAATGGCAGTCGAAATTTCACTGATTGCCATACTTTTCCTGTCATATTCTATAACAACTAGGAAAGTAAAATTTTTTAAAAATTAATTATGGTATAAAAATACTACTAAAATAACTATGTATTAATTTTCTATAACTTAAAGTTGTTTTGTTGTGAGTTTGCAAGTCAATGTTTAATATTAAATACAATAAGTAATCTCTATTTTTATTACATTACGATAAAATAATGCAGTTATTTTGTTATCTAATTGTAATTGAGTACATAAATCAGACTTTTTAGAATTGATTTAGATATTTATTTTCTAACTTTTTGAATTACAAAAATATTAATATAAATTTTTTTTTATAGGTAATTGATTCATCTGATGTTGTAATACAAGTTCTTGATGCAAGAAATCCACTAGGAACACGTTCTCAACACGTTGAGAATTTTCTAAGAAAAGAAAAACCTCATAAACATCTTATTTTTGTTTTAAATAAATGTGATCTTGTACCAACTTGGGTCACTGTAAGTAATTCAGTTTATTATTTACTTATTAAATTATTTTATGAATTGTTACAGTTTATTTTTTAAAATCAAATATTGTAAATAATTTAAAATTAATTAGAAGTTGTTATAGATTTTGATATTAATTAAACAAATACAGTGGGTGATCGGTTAACGAACATAATCCATTCCAAGACTTTGTTCGCTATCCGAATTGTTCGTTAACCGATTATTGATTTACCATAGATTTCTATGGGAATTTAATTAATTTGTTCTGGAGACCCCAAAATAAAAAATATATACTTTTTTATTACGTTTATTTATACGTAATAATAAAACTACATACATACACAGTCTTGCATTTTTATTAGTCATGTTTTTTCCGTTTGAAAGGGTTAAAGAATCTGTCTAATGTCGATTGCTTTTCCCTCTTCTTCAGGATTTTTTGTAAGTAATTAATAGCATTGCAATTGTAGAAATCCTCAAGCCTCAACCTGGTTTAGATGCCATTCTAAGACCGTTGTTCTGACATCCTCCCACTTCTTCAAACGATCTTTAATAACAGATATCGGCATTAATCCTCTTTCTCAGAATAAAACATACCTCGCCGAGATTCTTGGTGTTCTTCATTCAAATGTTCTTAGCGTTCTTCTATCGTCAGATCCGTTTCGTATCGTCAGATCCATTATGAACTCTTCGATGTTCTTTATTTCTCAGATTTGATTTTTGTTACTCCTTTAGCTGCTTGAGTTTTCTGGATTATACAGTATTTTTCTTAAATAAGATTGAACTGCTGCCTACTGTAGACCTGTTCACGCCATACTGCCCAGCAACATTAGGCATCTTCTGCCCACTCTCCACCTTTGGTATTATACTCTCACCTTTTGAAAAGAAAAACAGATGCAAAACTTAATGAGTGCCTACTCGACAGTCTCGCAAATACATAAAAGAATTATTTTGTCAGAGAAGTAAAAGGCTGGAATTACAAGGGAGAGTTTCAAAATTTGGAGGAATACTATCCGATCGGTATAATACCGGCTTGAGCGTTGATGTCGACATTTCCCACACTCCGAAAAGTTTCGAATTGTTTCCCGAAGACATGGGAAGACCAATCGGTATTCATTATTTTACATCATTTCTTCTTGTGTTTGTTCGCTATCCGATCATGTGTTCGTTGTCCGAACATAAAAATCTTTCGCGAAAGTGTTTGTTATCCGATTTGTTCGTTATCCGATCTGTTCGTTAACCGATCACCCACTGTATAGAAAAATTAATGAAATTTTTTTCTGCCAAAACTATTAAAATGTAATGTTTAAGGTATTATTCCTAATATTTTTTGTTTTTTTGTCTCAGCTTCAGATTCTCAATTGTAGTCTATTAGAATGTTAAAAAAGTGAATTTCCAAATTATTGGCTAGCATTGTTAGTTTTTATTATATAATAAAAAGTTATAACGTGTAATTAATTTTTATTATATTTACAAAAAAGATAATCTTTATTTTCAATAACAGTAAAGTTAAAATTTTAATATTGTTTTATATAAACCAAGAAGAGTTAAATAATACAGTAATACACATTAATAAAACATAAATTAATTTATTGTATTAATTTACATATCATGTGTTATATTGGAATGTTTTTCAATAATTCCTGAAGATGGCCTATGAATAGGCTGGAAATTTTAGAAATCTTTCATTTGTTCTGGTATTGAACTTTTAAGAATTTAACCTATAATAATTTCAAATAGTCAACAGTCAGATGTTTATCTTAATTTAAAATATTATTTTTAAAAAATTGATTTCAAAATATGCACCTAAGATGATCTATGCAGATATATAAAATAAAGGCCATTACATAAATTTCTTTGAAAATGAGCTAATTATATATAATTATTTAATTAATGCTAATTAAATATTTTAATTTCTAGCAACGATGGGTAACAGTTTTATCATCTGAATATCCTACAATGGCTTTTCATTCAAGTTTGACAAATCCTTTTGGAAAAGGGGCTTTGATTGATCTTCTTAGACAGTTTGCAAAGGTTTGCAATTGATTTATTAATTTATGTCTCATAATTATAATGCTTTAAATAAAACTATATTATGCAATGGAACCTGATTAACTGAAATTGGTCGGGGGAAAACTTTAAACTTTGAGTTAAAAAGTTTAACTCAAAGTTAAAATTTTGCCAATAAACCAAATTTTGCCAATGCTAAAAATCAAGATTTTGTGCATTAGTTTATTGCTAATAGTTAATTATAACTATTCATATGATATTTATGGATCTTATTAAAGTAGAATTGTCGTGCCAATGTAAATCTCTGGATGTTCTCCAGAAAACCAAAACACTTAACCAAATGGTTAAATAAGCTATTGAATAATACTTCTAAGTGTTTAGTAAGTATTTTTTAAATTGCAATATTTTTATACTTAGAATCGATCTGTTTTTTATTTTTTATCACAAAAAAAACCACTCTTTAAAGTGGTTTATTTGTGATAAAATTATTATGATTGTTATATTTTTAAAATTTTGCTGCAAAGATTAAATTTTTTACATAGAATCAGGCCCTAATCATTTTTTTAAATTAATTTATTGAAAATCCATTTATTTATTACATTAGCTAGTCATAAAAATCCATCAGTAGTCAAATAAAACAAACCACAGCTTGAAAAAAAGCAGGTTTGAATGACAGTATCTAAGTCACATGTACTGTCTGGAAGCCACCACCTGACCTGCCGTCACATGACACAATGTTTAGTTTTAGTCATATAACCAGTTTGATTTAATACATAAATTTCTATGCCAGACATTCGGGGAAAGAAAATGACTTTGAGCAAATGCAGCTTCGAGTTAACCCAGTTTTACTGTATTTTAATATTCAAACACAAAACGTAAGAATTTTTATAAAAAATTTCTAAGCTAGAACTGATTCTTAAATAAATGTATTATTTAAGAAAATGAACTGTGCTAAGATATATTGGTATCTGTTGGTTACATTGACTATAAATTATTTCAAATTTTTTTATTATTATTCTTTAATGATCATAATTCATTTCAATAACTCCATTGTTGACAAAATACAGTGTTGGTCAAACATTATTCTTATTTATTATTACTATTATTACTATTATTACATACAGTATGTTGTAAACATTTTCCAATTTATGACCATGAAAATTTAAAATAGTATTATAAATCATAATATTGGCTGTATGGTATTGTATTATGTTGTTATGATAAACAATGTGATTAGAAAAACTTATGTAATGATAATGAAATCTAATAATTAAATAATAAAAATGAAGTTTTATTTATTGCAATATATTTTATTTTTCTTTACATTACATTACATGTAAACAACATTTTTATCATTATTAAAAACCAGTGATTGTAAATAAAAGCAGTGTTAATAGAGACAGTGAGAAAGGAATATATATGCCTAGAGTGCTAAGTACTTTCATAACAGACAATAGATAAAAAAAAATTGAATGTTGAAAAGTTAATTATGTTGGTATTAATGTTGAAAATGTTAAAAATATCTATTATTTTATTCATCGTTATTGCATACTTTAATACAAAAACAATTACAGTCAAGTCTGCTTAAGAGAGCACCCTCAGGATTTCTGTGCCATGCTCTCTTATCATAAGTAACAAGATCACTAGGAGATTGTTAATGATATTTTGTTATACTTGAAAAACATTAAATTCATTATTAGATTATTTTTACTTTACTTACGTATTGTGTACTTTCAATTCTTATATTATCACTTTTATTGTTCTATCAAATAATCAGTAAATACAGTATATTTACAAGTCAGACTATTTTCACTTCTTCAGTACAGTATGAGCCTCACTGAAAAGATGTGAACATTCTTGTTTTAAAATTTCTGAATGCTCTCTGATGGGACCTGAAGTATAAAAACAAATAAGAACATTACTGCCAAGTAAAGTCATGTGATCATCAAAATGTAGCCTCTAATCACTTGTCTCATCCACTTGAAATGAGGATGTATACATGATCTGCACTGACTGTTGATATATATTTTATGATGCCTTTTCAGCAAATCTCCACAAAATATATAATGTAGTATATATTATGTCTTAAATATATTCTACTAGTAGCCCGGGACTCCCCCTAGTGGGCGTTGTTTACAAATTTCCATGAAGCACGGTTCCTTTGACTTTTGTTCCTATCAATATGCTCTACAGCTCTGTTAAAGTCCCAATGGTAAAATTAGGTGAAGATGTGGCGACCCCCCCAAACTGTAGCCCCCTGTGCGAACAATAAAGGCAAAGGAACCATACCCCTACTCGCTACCCTTCGCGAGATATAAGCCCCTGAAATAATAAATTCCTATTACAAATATACTGAATTATTTATATTGTTATATTGACCAAATAATAATTTATTGGACAAATGAATAATAATAATTCATAGTGTTAATTTAAATAAGAATTAAAATTGTTAATTTGGATGTTTGAAATATGACACATGATAGGGGCGCCTCTAGTGTTGGTTATCAAACGGTTACGGGACGGACGGATGGAAGGAAGGACGGACACCTGTTGAATGGGTTATATATATAGATAGTCTTAAATATTCAAAAATTCTTTTAAAAATGCTTAAAAAGATAAAAAATCGGAACTTTACTAGATTTTTGGAAATGAACTGTTCTGATATCAGATCAAAGGTTTAAGCAAAGAACAATGAATAATAGAAATTCAGAAATAATTTTATAACAACATATTTAAATATATTCGATATGTGTATTATATAATGAAATTATTATTTTTTAATAGCTTCATCAAGATAAAAAGCAAATAAGTGTTGGTTTTATTGGTTATCCAAATGTTGGAAAGAGTTCTATTATTAATACACTGAGATCAAAAAAAGTGTGTAATGTTGCACCTATTGCTGGAGAAACAAAGGTATTAACATTTATTTTTACAATTTTTAAATAATTATAAATATTTAAAATTTGTAAACATTTTTAATATATCAATTATTATATCATTTCTCTTACTAATTACACTTTATTATATCATATACAATAATTAGAGTTAGATTTGCATTATATATTTTATGACTTTATTACTGAATTGATTGCAATGTTATTAAAAATTATTTCATTTTTTATTTTTACAGAAAATGTAAAAAGTTTCTTTTTATGTTTATGAAAATCAGTATAACAGACATCATTGGTTTTTATTGACCAGTGTATTGTACATTGACAGGAACAATTTGCAAACTTCGTTTTTTCCATTCCATGCAATCCAAAGGACTGCATGGAACTTTCTTACTAGTTTTTTTGTATTTCTTGAAATGATTTGTTCTTTTGACATTATGACCCCTCAAGTTATGCGTTAAAAATTGACATAACCATCCAGGACTGCCCAGAGAGTAACAAGGCACTGGGACAAAATACACACTGAAGTCTTAAAATGAATTAAATTGTTATATTAGAATAAAGGAAGTAAATAAAAAAAAGGAAAAAATGAAATCAATATAGTTTGCACCAAAATTTTTTTTATATCTCAGTAGAAAAGTGTTTATGAAAGTAAATAAGTTTTATAAGAAATAAATAAAACTAATAATTTTAAAATTAATAAAATATTAGTTATTTTTATGTTTATGTAGATATAATCAACTAACTTGAAGACAAAAATTGTTCAAACAAGTTAAATATTTTTCAAATACTGTTTTTTGTGTATTGACATTGTTTAGAGGAGCTTCTACTTCCTCATCAGGGTAATTTACTCCTTTTGCCCCTTCTGCCCCTGTAATTATCCTCTGCTTGCTTTCAATCCTATATTGGAAGACTGCTAGTTTCTGTGCATGGGTGAAAATGTATTTACCATTTACAGCAAATCTTTGCTCTTTCTCTCTGCATTTTATCTGCTCTATTATAGATTCTTCTAGTTCAGCATATTGGACTGTAGAACTTCTTGAAAAATGTTATTGCTTTCTTGCTGTTGAGATTTATTTTAAGATAAAAGATTGTGATAAATTATAAATTAACATTTGAATGGAATATTAGTTTATCTCTTAATTTAATGTTTNATTACAATACCTGGACCTTTGGTCTGATCTCTTCCAGTATATAAAATAACGTTATAATCATCAACAGTTGTTAGAGGGGCGTACCCACACCCTCATCCTGTAAACAAATCCTAAGTAATAACTGTCAATGGTTATAATGTAATTTTATATACTGGAAGAGGAGATTGGACTAAAGGTCGGGTAGTGTAATTGGCAACGTATCTGCACAGTAAGCAGGAGTTGTGGGTTTGAGTCCTACTTCAGGCTGATTCTTTTCTTCCAGTAGTTATAAATTTATCAAGAGATGGTGCCTAACACCTAACTCTAGTGCCAAATTGTCTCATAATTTATTATTATTATAACCGTTTCTAGTCCGATAATATTTGGCATTGGTTGGTGTGTGTGTGTAGCTTTATAATATATCAGGTTTAGTGATGATGATTGTTTGAATATACAAACATCCTAAAACCCAATAAATATTAGTAATATGGCAAATGATATTCTAAATTATTTATAAATTTATTAAATTTACAAATTATAGCATTCCAATTTTAAAATTTTTTGTATAGGTTTGGCAGTATATTACTTTAATGAGAAGAATTTATCTAATTGATTGTCCTGGAGTTGTTTATCCTAGTGATGATTCTGATGTAGAAGTTGTGTTAAAGGGTGTAGTGAGTACTAATTTATTTGTTTTCATCTAAAAGACTTGAGAATTAAGAATATTAATGATTTATGAAGCATTATGAATAGCTATGCAACATTTATATAATTTTAGTAAAAACTATATAGCTTCATAATCTTTAAAAATAATTTTTAAATATCAACTATAAGTTAGTAGTAATTATAATTTATATACAAATGAGAAAAATGCTATTAAAATGGTCAAATAATGAATTTATTTGAAGTATTCATGTTTTGTTAAAAAATAATGTTGAAAGAATAAATGATATATCAGGTCGAGTCATAAGAAACTTCTGATGCAGCTAAGTAGAATCTATTATTTGTATCTACCCATTATGAGTTACTGGGACAAACGAGTTTTTGTTTTCACTATATAGATGAGGGTTCAGTTAATCTTCTGTCATCTGTTTTGTGCGATGCACATTACATTAAACTGCTTTTCTTAACCTCTGAAATGGAGAGTCAAAAAATTGCATATTTGTCATGTAACTTTGGGAATTTAAACAAGGCAATAATGCTAAGGTGACAGCTGAAAAAATTTGCAGTGTATACAGTGAAGGACTAATAACTGATTGGGCAGTTAGAAATTGGTTTGTAAAATTCCATTCAGGAGATATGACGAACCAAGGGTAGGACGTCCTTCCGACTTTGATGACAACCTTTTAAAGGTAATATTAGAGCAAAATCTACATCAATCAACAAGAGGTATAGTAGAAAGGTTGAATACATCACAATCAACTGTTAACTGCCACCTGGAGAAATTAGGGAAAGTCAGCAAGTTAGGAGTATGTGTACCTCACAATCTCAGTGAATAGAATAAAGATCAACCACCCCTACCAGATCTGAAAGCAAACATCTATGGTAAAAAGATTTTATTGTGTGTATGGTGGGATTATCGAGGCATAATTCATCATGAGTTATTTAAATCAAATTTAACGATTACTTCAGATAGATACATTCAGCAGCTGCAAAAGAGTGCAACAGAAACTCCATGAAAGTACTCTGCACTCATCAATTGCAAAAACGTCATTCTTTTATATGACAATGCATGAACACACACAGCAAGGGTGACTCAATAAAACATTCTTGAGCTTGGATGGTCTATTTTACCACAACCACCTTACTCCCTGGACCTTGTCCCGACAGACTATCAGCTTTTCTGTTCCTTACAAAACTTTTTGAATGGAAAAACCTTCAGTTCTGAAGATCAACTCAGTCAGGCTGTCGAAAATTTTTTCCAGTCCAAACAAACCACATTTTACAAGGAAGGAATTGATAAACTGCCAGGAAGATGGGAGAAGGTCATACATAGGCAAATACATAATAAATTAATATAATTTTGTTATTTAATGAAAGCAAAATAAATATCTGATAAAAAAACGGAAGTTACTTATGACTCGACCTAAATAGAATGTAGTTTTATAACAATTGACAAGTACTAATAGAATCTGAATTATTGTACTGATTGTAGATTTCATTTCAAATTTAAGAATAAATGCATGTGTCCACTTTCACTTCTCAGCTCCTCCATAGAAAAAAACAGTGTCTGTTAATAACAGACACAGTACTTTACCATTCTCATTAAGTACCTGACTAAGACAAATTATTCAGGACTTTGCCACTTTTTATCAATGATTTCCTAATATATGAAGACAATCAAAAGTTGCATGAAAGTGGAAGAGTATGATTGCATAAATCAGTGTATGAAACGTACTGATATCAAGTATCAATTTGTAAAGAATGAAGTAAAGGATGACATGTACATGGATCATGTGTTTGGAGAGATGGATGCAAAAAACTTCTTTCTAATATTACTTTTTAAATTTTTATTTGTTTCTAATGCATTTGGAATAGAACTGGAAGGCTTTACATAAGAATTTATATGTGGTGATGAATTCTTTTAAACCGGACTTCTACCCATTGAAAGTTTGAGAATAGGTTGGGGCCGAAATGACCTCAATTTATTCTCAAACTTTCAATGGGTGAGAAGTCTGGTTTACCCGACATTTGGTGTTTGCGTTGGGATCCCGGGGCTGCGAGTCCCGGGCACACCAATGGCCCATCCCGTCCGTGGACAGAGCGAGAGCGTACAAGTTGGGACCCAAAAGAATTCTTTTAATGTATAGTACATGAGCATAATCAAATGCAATATAAAAATGCAGAAGTTTGTTGTTATATTTATCATTAATGCTTAATTTTATCTGTTGAAATTGTTACATATTTAAAATGCAATGATATAAAAAAAAGTTAAGAGTCATATGAGTGAAAACTATATTTGTGTTGTTTTTATGATTACTGAATTATTATTATTATGATATTACAAATACTTTATTGTAATAAGAAAATTCTTGTTACAGGGGGTTAGCTTTAGAGAATTACAAAAATACAATTATTACTTATTGAAACATAGTTTTTTTAAATGTCTTGTTACATAAATTTTGCTAAACATAACATATTAATCATTCAATCTACATATCATATTTCGAATTATTTAAAATATGAACAAAAAAGTAATGGATATTATACATCTTATACAATGGAAATTTTTTCTTGATTAGTTCTGAAGTTTTCTTCTTAATTTAAATCAAAAAACTCTTTTAATTTGAATTTACATTACGCTTCTTCAATCTTTGGACACTCAGTAAGAATATAATAAATGATTTATAAAAATGATTGTAAAGAACAAGTAGAACTTACATACCCGCTGGCAGAAGAAGTTTAATAAATTAGTGGTAATTATATCCATTCCAGGAGCTGTTTTCGTTTTTAATTTACGAATTGATATATCCAGTTCTTCGATAGATATTGGAATATCTAAACTTTCATTGAAAGAAATTTTTTATATCGGCATAAGGAAGACTGTAATTCCTGTAAATCTGTTAATAGAGTTATCCATTTAAAAGAATCTATTTGCATTGATTGATCACAATTGAAACATCGTAATTTCTTAATCGTAAACTTTAAAAGTTCACTGTTTTTATTTTCTAAGATTATTTGTTGAATTTTTTTATAGTAATTTGATTTCTTAGATTTTAATAGATTGAAATACAAATTTTTGGCTTAACGATATTGACTGAATACCGTTGATGTAGATAATTTTTAAACTGAAGTAATGCTTTAATAATTTTCATTCTTAAATTCTTATATCCGGTATAAACTTTCATTATTATTATGTGCTGCAGGCAAGGGACTTAATAATTGAGACTCAACAATACGTAAATCTTGAATAGGAGTGTTTAAATTGATCATATGTCATTGCGGAGTATTCTCAGAAGTAAAATACGGGGTAAAAGAATCCAAGTATACCAGCCCCTCCAACACATAGCTATACGTCAAAGAATAATTGCCCAACAGTATAGTATCACCTCGGAGTTTTGGATATTTACCTGCTTTCCTTAACTCGCTTAAAAAAGGAATTAATTGTTTACGTCTTAATCTAGATCTTTTTATAAGATCCTGTGAAATTTGAGTTTCTTTCCATACGTTCGATAGGTTTTGCTGTTTCATTTTTATAAAACTCGAATATATATAATCTCTTATTTGGGTATTTTTAATAATTAATTTAATTGTTGGATACTGTGATTTAGTTATTGGAATAATCGCTATTAAATCATCCATTGTAACTTCATGTAATTCTAATGATTCATTAATAAGATTAAACACTTCTAGCTTGGTAGGATTAGTTTTACTGGGATATCTATATAACATTATATTATTTCGATGTTGCGCATTAACCATATTGTCCATTCGATATTGCATACTTTCATTTTCTATTTTCAAATTAGCAATTTGTTGTTCAAGATTAATTATTTGGCTATTCATTTTTTGATTCTGGACTTTAGTTTCTTGGATACTATTACGAATCTGGTCCAAATCTTCTTTGATAATAGTCATTTGACTTAATATTCTCGTATTAGAAACATTAATTAATTCAGAAATTTTATTCCATAGTGTTATACTTGATATATCAGATGAATTTTTTCCTGGCGAAGAAGATAAAAAATCATATGGCTCACCTGATAGTTGTGAACTTAGAAGTGTAGTTTCAGGGTTCAAACCTACGTTTGCAGAAGATGGTTCAGGAGAAGTTCTTTCGACGTGTAAATTGTAATCAGTAATTAACCTGGTATTAGTGGTCGAAGCAGTTTCCTTTCTACTAGTTGATTTTGACTTTTGAAGTGGTGGTCTTCCTCTTTTAGTTGGCGAGCGTTGCATATTAATTATGTTGATAAATTTTCCAACAATTATAATGTTAACACACAGCCCAAACAAATAAAATTTTAACGTAAAATTATTAAACAGGATACATTCTTTACCTGTATTTGAAGTGAGTAAAAAAAAACGCGCCAGCAGCTTCGGCAGACAGAAGCGCCCCCATTATTATTATTATTATTATTATTATATCTAATAAACATATTTCCATTTTAATGTGGTATAAATAATTTTTAGAAAATAATTATGAAAGAAGGATATTTCTTTTTAATTTAACCATTACAACTTAATATATTAGGTCAGAGTGGAAAATATTCAGACACCTGCAGATTATATTGAAGAAGTTCTAAACAGAGTAAAGGAAGAATATATTCAAAAAACATACTTGATAGACTCATGGATTAATTCTGAAGATTTTTTAAAAAAGCTAGCATTAAGAACTGGCAAACTTTTAAAGGTAAATATTTTTTAAAAATATATTTCAATAAATTGTAAATAATAAATGAATATAGTAAATTCTGAGAGTATAAATGTAAAAATACCCTAAATACAGTAGAGCATTGATTATCCGAATCAATTGTTTGGAAAATCGATTTTTTAGATAACTGATTATGTATGAAAAAATATATTAACCTATCCTGTGTTGAAATTTGTTCAAATCCTGGCACGTCCTTAAGCACACCAACAAAAATAATATTAGAGTAGCCAAAGATTGCAGCACCACAGCACTAGTGGAAATTTAACTAGCTTTAAATTTGCCGACTGGAAAGCTTTTGGTTAATTGACATTTCGGTTGATCAACATTCAGATAATCAATGCTTTACTGTATTCTCAAATATGAAATGTGTAAGGAACAGTTCTATGTATAGTCCTGTTTAGAAATTTATGTAATATAAGAATTGGTACATATTAGTTCTTATTTGTATTCTATATTCTATACTAATTAAATATTTATGTTGCAAGTTTTATATACATTTGTAATTTGAAATGCAACATTTTATGTACTATTTTTATGAAATAATTACTATACATTTCATTGTAAATATAGCTGCAATAACATACACAATTTGTCCCAAATTTTTCTTGATCTATTAAAAAATAGTAATTAATTACTATCTTTAAATAATTAAACATTTATTGTGTAATATACAAAGTACATTTTATCTTCAGTAATATACTTATAACAATAATCATAAAACCCTTCAAACTATTGCTAAAAATCCTTTGTAAAGATAGCCTCCACAAAGTTGATTACATCTTTTTGAATGTTTTTTAGTTTAGAGATAAAAAAAAAAAGAGGAAGAAATTTGATGGGTAAGGATGTATTAAAAACTATGACACCTTTGTATGCAAAAATCTTTTACACAATAATTGTATTGAGCTAGATATAGGCATGTAATTGTTATAATTAAATACTTTGAAACTTCCAAGTAATAATTATTAGTGATGTAACAAATATTCGGCCTATTTTTCACTATTCAGCCAAATACCGAATACCTAAAAACAGGAGTGAGAAATAACAAAAACATTTTGGTATTTAGATTTAATGTTATCAGGTTAGTGTTATTTGTTTATATTTATTTATAACTGCACAAAATAAAAAAAAATAATAATAATAATGTTAGTCACATGTATTCACAATTTATAATTACAAAGATCAGCACACATACACACTTATTCGTTCAAGAATTATCGCACATCTGAGGGTCTGACCCTGCCTATCCTTCTTTTTAAGCACTCGTCTTTGCTCTTCCTTTTCTCTTTTCTTCTATCGCTCTAGTCTGCGTATGCCTATTCATACATCATAATATGTGCTCACAATACTTTCAATTTGTCACTTTTCCATCATAGATTTCCCATTTTACGATTAAGTGATTCATAGTCTGGTGATAACGGAGAAAAGAGATAGCTAGAACGTCGGTATAAGTCACAGTTATGATTTCACAGATTCGAGACAGCTTGGTAGCCCGAACGGTCCCGGGCTGTTGCCTATGCATGCTAAGTGACTTTCATTACAAGCATTTAGCTTTCTGAAGTCTATGACAACAATTATTTGGCGTTGACAGCCATGAATTTTGCTCCAATAAGCTGCCTCAACTTGTTTGATTATGTTATCAAGTCAATTTCATATTTATTTTCACTTCACGGTCCTTTTCTGTTCTTTTTCCGTTATTTAAATGTGTAGGTCATTTCATTGATATCATCATTTATCACATACTGCCATGACGTTCTTGTCTGTCTGCTACAACTGTCAAGAATTAATGTGATTGGCAAAGCGTAGTGACAGTGGGCCAATAGAGAGCAGGGTCTTTGCCATAGTGCGGTTTGCGCGCCAATTTTCGTACATGCGTTAATCAAGCCAAATAGTTTGGCCAAATATACTATTTGTTGCAACACTAATTATTACCCATTGACAAAATTGTCAAAGTATATTAATTTTGGAAACTTCATTCCATCACAATAAGTTCTTCATTGTGGCACTCTAGTATCTCAATATTAATCTTATTCTTTTTAACTTTATCTGTGTTTTCTGTTTCTTCAGAATTTTTCTTCACTAATTCCAACATAAAAAAGGAAGAGATATAAGAATTTAAACATAATGTTGAGTTTCTTCTACAATATTTGTAATTTACTTTCAGCTATTTCATAGTCTTTGAACTTAAAATTAATTGCAACAAAACTATCCAAGAACATTAAAAAAAAAGTAGAGATTTACATAATTACAACAGAGACTACATCCTTTCAACATTACAATTAGGGTTTATCATTTCCCAGTCTTTTGCTTGCCCCGGGATATCCCAGGATAGAATCAGTTATTTTTAAGGTATACAAGATATCTTGAAATTAAATGATATAATTATTTTTCATTTTTTAAAGTAATTTTAAAGTTCTATATCATCCAAAATCATATTAATAATGCTGTGTAAGATATATAATAAAAATTACCTTTGAATTACGTAGAAATTTTCACAAATAGAAAAAAATTTATTAAAGTTTGCTAGAAACTGCATACAACAACAACAAAAAAAATGCTTTGAATTGAGTTGAAAATTAAAAATTGAACTTAGATCAAAATTATAATTTAGAAGGTTTTTTAAATAAAATATAATACAAAATATTGTAAACTTTTATAAGATTTTAAAAAGCAAAGATGATCAATCGATCACTCACTCTAATTCTTATTTTAGTAATGAAAAGTCTTGCTACTGAGAATGCCCTTTCCGATTCAATTGATGCGATTGGAATCGTGTTTAATGCATTTAAGAGAAGACAGATATGTGTTTTTTCACCCGTAGCCTGAAAGATTTCGAGTTTGTTTTTGAGATTGTAGTACTTCTTTTGCTCTCTAGTAATTTTGATTTGTCTACCTTGGCTGCTTTAATAGCGACATCAAGCTTAGAGCTCGATAATTCGGCAATTCATTTGGCTTTAATAATCAGGTTTATGAAGAAAAACTTCATATTCGCAGACTTTATACTCGTTTGTATCTTTGCCCAATTTGCACAACCTGGCGTTACGCATTTATTGAAGCTACTGGGCATGGTTAAAAATTAAGACAGCGTAAGCACAATTATTCCATATATTACAGGTTCTGACAAAGAATTTTCAGAGTCATGCCACAAATCAGTTACATATTGATTATCGACCATTTGTGACATGCCATAACGAGCAAAAATTTAAAAAAAACTAATAGGTAGGTTTAAAATTAATAAATACAAATGTATTCTGACAGTGAATGAGATAATTATGCTTTTTATTTGCAAAATTTCTTAATCTTAACACAAAATAAGAAAAAAGGTGAATTTTTAAGAAATTTGCAGAATTTCCCAGGTTAAAAAAAACAACCGGGATCCCGGAATCCCGTTTGAGAAACACTAATTACAATCTTCAAGAACTAGATTAATTAACTATTGGAATGCTGTAATAAGATAATCTATTGTATGGAAATGGCATTGTCATTGCCTGTCTCACTTTAAGGGAAGCTGTCATCTTAAATTCAGATTTAAAAAAAATAAGTATAATATTCAAGAATAAGTCTGTTGACTTACTTTTGGAGGAAATTTTTTCATGAAAATATTTAGTATTGCAATAACTTGCATTATATAATTGAAACTAAATGCCAACTTCAAACCTAGACAAATTACAACAGGAATCATAAGGTAAGCAATGATTGTTTAATCCAGGGCTGTGGAATCAGATCTGAAATAAATTTGTTGTTAGAGGAGTTGGAGTTAGTAAAATGGACAGACTCCAACTCCTGTTTTTTTATTATGTACTTTATATTAAGCTTGTGATAGGAGCACTAACCTCCTATTTTATACTATAGGAATCTCCTGTAATGCAAGACCTTATTTTATGATTTCCCTACATCGTGATCTTTGTGTATCACTAATTACTGTTGACTTACTGTTGTATGTTCAAAGATTCAAATACATTCTGCGTTAGCTAATTCTAAATTCCTATTGTTAAAAGACCCATACAAAATGGCTAAGAAGACTTGGGTTAAATCTAACATTTTTAATACTTTATTATAACTACAAATTGAAAATATTTTGTGTCAATGTCATTGAAGATGATAGTGAATAATGAAAAAAGATAATTAGTGATTTCAATAGGAATACCTGGTAATTTGCTTAAAAATTGCTTACAAAGTTGTCTGATTATATTAACCTAGAATGACATTTCTTTACAACCAAATGAATCATCAAAGTAAATTTTAAATTATTTAGAGGCAGGAGTTGGACCTTTTAAATTATTCTCTGAGTCAGAATCAGAGTTAGGGGCTTGGTCTACGAACTTCACAGTCCTGAATTAAACAACAGATGGAACCGGCCTTTTATAGATTAGACCAGGGTGGTGAACTTTTTTCGAGTCCATGTGCCACGTTGTAAGCATACTTAGCTTTAAAAGATGTTTATACAGTTGACCCCCCTATAACACTGTTGATTATTTTGTTTTATATGAGTTACTTAGATTTTACAAATACAGGAGCTGTTCACAGCCTGGCACTTATATTTTACATGTATTTGTAAAATATAAGTGACTTGTACAGCATGGAATTCATATAAAACGGAATTATCAAGTGTTATGGGGGTCGACTGTACATGCCAAAGTTTTATACTTAGTCCTTTGATTAATAATGATATTTAAAAAATTAATGTTTTAATTAGAATAAATGTAAAAAAGCTGATCAGATGATAAGAGAATGATTGAAAAAGACAACTTATTATATGATTTTTAATTTATCATCTAAGTGCCACAGGTTTGCCACCATTGGATTGATTTTGTAGCATCTGTATTTGTAAGTCAGATTTGAAATTCATTTTATGGCTATGAACAGAACAAACTTTTATGTTAATTCAATAATATTTTCATAATATATTTCATTAATACAGTAAAAGCTTGATATTACTGATCCCAATATAATGTTGTTGTGGATGATTTATGTCCGTCCAGCCTAAAGTATAGAATAATTATAAGAAAACTCATTCATTATAATGGACCAATTTCTTTAGTTATATCAAGGTTTTACTGTAACAAGGAAATTTCTCTTTTGTAATATTCTTAGAGTTAGCTTCACATTCAAATTATTTTTTGAATATGATATAAATTTTACATAATGATTCATTGTATTAAACTTATATTTATGAATTTATGATTAATTATTTATTTTGTTTGTTTAGGGAGGTGAACCTGACATTCCAACTGTTGCAAAAATGGTTTTGAATGATTTCCAGAGAGGAAAATTACCATACTTTGTAAAACCACCTGATTTAGAAGTAATTTGTTAAGTTAAAAATTATATTTTATTTTTATAATAAAATTTATTTGTTCAGTTAAGGTATATGTTTTTTAACTTATATTTTATAGCATATAAGGCACAGTGTTTATGGTAAAATAGCATTTTTTATTGTATTTAAACCATCCCAATTTTTTAATACTGTATTCTGGTTTAAAAAAAAATAAGTAAAATTAGAATGCACACTTTTAGTTATCAAAGAAAAATTTAAAAGAAGTTACCTAAAATTAAAATTTACCATTAAAATATTCCACATGAATACATGCAAAAATTGCTTAGTTACAGCAAATAATAATATATTTATTATTATTTAGCATACTATTTTCATCCACAATGTAGGGAGTACGACCATATTCTTACCACAAAGGATTATTATGAGTGCAAGTTTAATGTGGTAACCCGTTGGGTAAGAAATGGTTTTTCTTACTCGTTTGGCCTCAGATCAGAAAGATCCACCTGCAGTGTCACTAGGATTGGTTTTTATAATTATAAAGTTTAGGTACAGGAATGTTGTAAAACATCCCTGTGATTTGTTTTTTCTGATACCAGCCTAATTAGAGCGTTAGGTACGCTAATGGATAAAATAATAAACCTTTCCGAGAAGGAGGGATTGTAGATCTGTGATAAGACTTTGGCATGGAGTTGAACTCAGTAACGAGAGCAAATAAAAACATGACGACAAAGGAAATTCTAAGTCTGTCTATTCGCTTGAGAGAGAGCATTTACATATATTAAGATGTACTGTACTACCTCACTTGTATGACTTGAGTTGATTCTCGATTGGTGATGAAATGTTGAAACAGCAGAAGACTGTGGTGTAGATTGGGATGAGGACGAAGTTCTTAGTAGGAACCCTTTTTTGCACAAGTTAAAGATTCAATGATGAGAGATCTGGGTTTGGAGTGCAAGGGAAATCTTGGGTGAACTCACCCCTTTTTATCCAAAATTCTGACAAATTGCAATCCTTGATTCAAGTCCACAGATGGGATATGTGGGGACGTGGAGAACTGCCAGATGGATGCCGCACCTTGGAGATAAAAGATTGTAAAAGGGAAGTTGATTTCTCTTTTTTCGTAAAAGTGAGAAATGTACTTCCTTTAGTGTAAACAACATGCGGAATAAATTTATTTCTCACGCTAATTTATCACCAATTTTGAAGGGAAATATTACTTTCTCGTGTAAATGGAGAAAACGACAATATAATTTCTATTGAAAAATGAAAGAAGTTATGTAGGGTGTCCGTTATAGGAGAGATTCTTGATCAAAATGACTTAAAATCTAGGTCGAAGTATTTAACTCCTTATTTAATTAAATTAATTGGATAATTTACTTCCTGATTCTCACATTAATATGATATTACAAAGCATATAAAATTAATAAAACAAAAAGAATTAAATAATCAAATATTCAAAATCATTGAGAGAACTGTGGAAAACAATTAGTATAACCATATCCACCTAAAGCAAAATGCAAAAAATTAATTATGAAGCTAATTCAAACAGATTGTCTCTGAAGGCCCACAGACACATTTAATATATCAATATAATCTATCTTGTGTTCTAAATTGCACAATTTCTTACAAACAGTATCATTATAGAAAACTTTCTTTTCTCAAATCCAACAGAACCCATACTTGACTCAATATCCATTAATCTTGACTCAGAATCAGCAAGTGCTTCAACTATATTCATTCTTGATTCATTCTGTAAGATGTTCTAATCTAATTATAAACTCCTCAACTGCATTGTTAAGTGACACATACACATGCCATAACACCTGAACAATTGATACATCAAACTATTCTTGCAACAATTGTGCAGTTTCATTAGCTGCCCTGTGTTCTTTCAGGGGCAGTTGGTGAAAATGTCTTCATTTCCTGAGACATTAAGAATAGAAGAAAAACTTACCAAAATACAAAATATTATGTCAATCCAACAGTCTCCTAAGATCCATAGGCACAAAACACACTTAAAAAGTGAGGAAACAAAGCCATTTGTGAGCTAACCAAGAAATACCAAATACAAAACAAACCAAAAGATAAGCCAGGTAATTTGGCTATTTGGGGAATTTGTTACCCTATGAGAGACTGCCTATGAGAGATATAAAAATATTGAAGTAGTTTACTAACATTACTGACTCTATTTTCAATATGCAGGATTTAATTAATACATGAAATTAATTGCGGCAATCCTTTACATTCATGACAAGTTTTAATTAATGCAGCTTTACCAGCTGTCTTTACTTAACATAGATGCTGTATTTGATATTAATCAAATACATTTTGATATGTGCAGTGGCATTGAGCATATAATTAACCAAGTTAATCATAGGTAAACAGTAGAGAGGTTTGCGGCCGATGTTTTCATCGCGAAAACGTGTACGTCAGACGTTCAGCGTCACCTTCCTGTAAGCCTAGAAGTTTGACAATGGCGTTTGGAACGTCAAGCACGATTCCATTGACGTTCCAAATGCCATTGTCAAACTTCTAGACTTACAGGAAGGCGGTGCTGAAAGTCTAACATACATGTTTTTGTGACGAAAACATCAGCCGATCTAGTGATTCCTCTGGAAATTCACAAAATTTTCCCAGTTGTTTTGTCATTTTTGGTTTTATGTTGCCACATTGTGATCTTTTGTTTATTCATTATTTTGTGCAAATAGTTGACATTCACAGGAACTCATCACATGGTTGAATGTGCCATCTCACCCATTATTTTGATAGTCTATTAAAAAATCTCACAAATATCTTAGATTTTTACATTTGTGTTTATCAGAAAAATTTCTTATCCTAGATAACTAATAGATACTTTCAACTACCTTATAGTGAGGGGCCTTTTTGTGCTCATCTTGAGCAGTAAAGGACCTAAAACCACAAAAAAAAGAAAAAAACTACCTCATAGTGCAAATTTCATAATTCTATTGTAGGGTCTTAGAAACAGTTCCAACCATGGCTGGACTACTTTTTACTACTAACATTACAATTATTATTCTAATTTCACATCACTTGCTAGGTGTGCAACACTGTTAGACCAAATTAATAGACTTTTCCATGTGTGGAAAGGGTTATCTCTAAGGTATTTCTTTCTCCTTCCCTAGCAACACATATTTCTACCAAGAAAGATTTAAAAAATTGGAAAAGTTGAAATAACTAGATATGAATTGAAAGTGAAATCTTTATAAAGAAATTAGGATACTGTTGCAATATTCATGGCAACCACTCTGGTTTTGGGCTGGACTACTTTTTCCACTTATGGTCCTTTTGCTGTTGTTCAGACTTTTACAAGAATAAGAGAAATTTTTATTATTTTATCTATGAGATTGTTTACAAAAATTAGTCATGTTCTGTACAAAAGTTGTGATTCTAACACTGATAAAGCGTGTCAATAGTTTGAGATTCATTTGTATCCAATTATTGCTGAAAAAAATGGGGAGGGAAGGTGAATCTTTGATGATGCAAGAATGCATTAATTGTTCATTTCTCTCCCCAATCATTACAAAATTGTCTAAAAATAATTCCTGTATATTTGCAAATGGTGACTTCTGGCCTGATAATTAGGGGAGAGCTGTACTGTACCTTGATTTATGATGACTGATGGTCATGGTGAATAGGATCAAAAATGAGTTTTGCTAATGTAATACTGAAACAGTCCCTAATTGAGTTTGTTTACTTTTTATGAGACAATTTTTATTTAAGATTATAAAAATAACAAAAAGTATAATTTCATAAGTTATTTTTTTTAAAATTAACTCTTACGATTATAATTTAATAATATTGTAAAAATTGAAATTTTATATATAATTGATATATTTTTTTAGGATACAGATGAAAATAAAACTACAAATCTAAAAGTTAAACAAAATCTCAGTGATGTTTTTGTTACTCCAGAATTTAATGAGGAAGAAGCAAAAAGAAATAATAATGAAGTTCAGAAAGGTATTGTTATGAGGTTATGTTACATGAGGCTTGGCCAACTTATAATGCTGTATGATTCACTTTCTTGAGGCAGAAGTACAGATTATCTACCAATTTTTTATTCCTTTGTGAAAGTGTAAGATTGACCACTCTTATAAAATAAAATTATGTTGAAAACAATAATATTTATTTATTGCACTGTAGAGATGGTCCTTGTTATCTTTCCTATCATAGATACTTTTGCATTTTCTCAGTTCAAATAAAATTAATTGGGGAGACTACTTATTCTAACTATTTCAATTAGATTTGCCATTAAAGAATTTTTAAATATAATGAATTGTTAATAAACTTTGATTTTCTTCTATTTAAGATATTGAATCATATATTGAAGATAAAGAAACTAAGAGTGATATAGAATCAGTTAAAGAGGATTCAAATGAACAAACTATGAATGCTTCAGATGATTCTGTTGATGGAAGAAAAAGCATTGACGAAAATTGTGAAGATTTGACTTCACATTCAAATGAAAATGAGAAGGTATCCATTTATAATTTTATGTCAATAAAACTAATTATTAAATTAAATTTAGCTATAAAAATAAATGACTAATATCAATACCTACAAAACAAGAACTCTGTTTTTTAATATAATTTCATATTTAAGAGTTATACAAAAGAAAATATCTATTGTCTATTTGTATTAAATGTACTTTTTTAATTTCAAATTATTGATCTCAAATTATTAATATTTTAAAATTGCTTTTATTATATTAGTTTAGTATATGTAAAGTTACAACATATGATTAAAGCAATCAGAAATTTACCTATTGCATTTTCTATAAAGAAAAATACTTTAATACTTGACAGATATAAATATCTAATACTAACTGATGTATCTGGCAATGCTTGGTGCTTGGGTTTTCATAATTAACATTGGGTTCAAAAACTACATGTGCTTTCATTAGTTAGTGACTATATACATTAACACTGCAATAAAAGCAAGTGTTTAAAGAAAAATGAAGAAATTCATTAAATTAATTTCATTAAAAAACAATCAAATTTAATTTATGTATTTTTTGTGTAGCGGTTTTCCATCATATTTTAAAAAAATTTGTAAAGGTTAAAAAATTTTTCTCAACTGATGAAAGTAATTCTAAAGAAAATAATCTAAGGTGATAACTATAACAAGAGACTAACTATTTCCCATCTACTCTCAATTTTTCTTTGAAATATAATATTAATAATATTTTTAAAATGCTTTCAAAATATCCATAAGAAGCAATAAAGTAAATTACTGGGGTTCAGGTGAAAGGACAATAACCAATTAAATAGTAACAACAACGCAGTTGATTTCAATCAGTTGCGTGTCATTATTTAGATCATGTGTTTTTAATCATTTAATTGTTTTATTAATTTAGTATTTCCAAAATGGAAATAATCAAATAGGAAGTTAAATATATTGTGTTTTTGTTGGCGGATTGGTCTGTAAGCAGTGATGTCAGATTTGTTTGTTAAAATAAATTTTTAGGTTTATTTGAAAGAAATTTGTGAACTTCTATGGTATTTCAGAGATCATGCTACATAGTACCAAAATTGCCACTTGGTGATATTTTTATTAAAGTGGAGATAAAAATATAATACTGGCCATAACAAGTGGTGATAAAATCCCTAGTCTGCTTATTTTGACATTCAACATGAAATTGAATCACAAAGTACACTTAGGAAAAACAGCAAAATGTCTAGCTCCTGTACAATGGGAGTCCCATGCACCACACAGCTAATGATTTGTTGACATCACGTGGCAAGTTCGGGAAGAAAAGCAGCAAGTGATGTTGAGAACCAAAGGCAATTTTTGTGCAGTGCTGTCCATAGTTTCCAAATTGGTGATTTTTTTTATCAACCACCAGAAAATTGGGAAATTTTTGGGGATGACTTTGTTTTCACTTTGATTTTTTTTCAGTAGACTAAAACAAAAATTTTGACATGACAGAACATGTAAAATACTTTGTTAAACATTGTAATCAAATGTGTTGTTCTGAATTATTTATTAACAAATCATTCAAAAATGATTCGTATTGTTAAGTTTTAAGTGACAGCTTGCCATATGCCAAACTGATAAAGTTACCAGCACCTGCATTAATTAGTAAGTAAAACTGGTGGAAATAAATAATTTGAATTAGCAAAAAAAAATATAAAAAAACTGGTGAAATAGTTAGAAATTTTAAAAAAATTGAAAAATTTGTGAAGCAAATTAGTTTGAAAGTATATAAAGTATAAAATAAAGTTAAATTTCTCAAAATATGTTGAGAGAAAAGAAGACTAAATCTGATGACATTGCAAATCCAAACACAAACATGTCTACAGATTTTGTTAGAACAAATTTTTATTCTAGAGATTCATCATTTTTGATTCTCCTTAAGCCAACTAAAAGACATAATCTTCATCTGAAATAGCCTTTTTGAGGCAACCAGTTTCATCTCAATTTTTTTTTTTTTCAACTTCAATGTCTCTATTTTCTTCTATTTGGTCTTATGTAAAATATATATAATTTACCATTAATATACTCAACAACAAATTAGTCTATGCTTTAATAAGAATAAATAGAACATAAGGATAAACTAGATGATATAACAAAATATTTCCAATTAATAGGGATAGATAAAATGATGATAATTTCTGATGACAGATTTTTGGGATTTTTGGAATTTGTTTGACCCAAAAGAGGGATCCATTTGACCAGACAGAAAAGAAATATTAAAGCAACATCATATGAAAAAAAGTTAAAACAGAGAAAGCAAATGCTCATTTAAAATTGCATGCATTATATTTTTGCACACTTTGTGCCCCAAGGGGTACACCAAGTTTCCCTTCAAAATACTGTGTCCGTCCTGTCCGCAGTCTGCCTGATCTTACAGTCCCGAAGAAGTAGGCTCACGCTCACTTTGTGATCATACATGGAAAAAATTCAAATTGTGGGTAGCAGGAAATTTAGCAGAAATTATGAGTTTATAGTGGAAATTTAACAAATTTCATTATATTATAGGGGTACAACTTATTATTTTCATTTTAGGGGTACACAATCAAAAAAGTTTGGAGATCACTGGCCTACACAGTAGCCTGTGTAGTGTTATACTACAATATTGTATACAGTCGACCCCCCCATAAGATCATTGATTTTTCCGTTTTATCTGAATTACATGTTGTACGAGTCACTTAGATTTTACAAATATGTGTGCCGTTCTGTGCCCGGCTCACGTATTTGTAAAATCTAAGTGACTCGTACAACATGTAATTCAGATAAAACGGAAAAATCAATGATCTTATAGGGGGGTCGACTGTATACTAATAAAGGATGGTTTTCTCATGCCACATAATTTAATAAAATGTAAAATTTTATTTTTCTCTCTATTGAAATATAAAGACCTGTATGTTTTCTTTTATCTGTCAAGTCAACTGTTTGTAAGAAATAAAGTTTTAAAATGTTCTAATATAATTCATATACAAATATAGCACTGATGGCACAGTGATAGCATTATGAACAGACTGGGAATGTCCAGGAATTCATTCTGCTTGAGGTTTTTGCTTTTTATGGTTTAGTGTAAATGGAAGTAATATAAGTTGTTTAAGACTAATCAATTCTTTACAATGAACGCATGAAATGAAAGCATTTCTGTCACAATCTGCTAATGAACACTGTTTTAGGAAATGTAAAATTTATATTGATAAAATTAGGAAAACTTGTTATATTTTTTTCTGTCACATATTTTGACTTCTGCCATCTATATATTTTTATGTTTTTAAAAATAGGAGCACGTAATTGTTATATGTATTAATAAATGCCCAGTCCAGGTAAATGCTTCAAACTGTGAATATCTGAAATTCATCTAAAAATTTAATAAAGGCTTAATCCAGTTTTTAAATGATCTGATTGTAATAGTTAGTTGAAATATAAAAACGCTTCCTTGTACACATTTCAAATACATCACCACTTCCCTTAATTACAATATTCAATTTATAATCTGTTTTTGCATGCAGTTTTTTATATATCTAATTGATAAATTTGTTTAATTACTAATTAATATGATGATTTAATAAAATATGGAAGTAATTCTTTCAAAAACAAAATAGTAATTAAAGTTTCAAATTTTGAATCTAAATAATTGTTGTAAATAAGAAGTCTTACATATAGATATTATTTCTTTAATATTTTAATGATTTTGAATTTCTTTTTTTAAAGAATGAAATACAAAAGTCAACAAATGCTAAAGATAAGTCTTATCATTCATTGAAAAGAGGGCAAGATGATGAAGGTAATCCATCAGTACGTTTAACAAGTAAACAGGCAAGTCAATTTTTATTTTATTGTCACTTAAATATTAAATATAACTGTAAATATTCCAGAAACATCTCTAATTATATTGAACACCAAACAAGGTGATAAAAATATGTTCAGTGTCTTGCAAAATTGTTTAACCTTATTTCAATATCATTTAACAAAAAAAATATATATATATAAATATTATTATTATTTTTTTAACATTAACCAAAACACAATGATTTTATCATTTAATTTGTATTTTCATTTAATTTTGAATAGTGTGCGAGTTTCCTCTGCAAAGAAATAATTTAAATTTATAATTGATGATTATTACTTATTGATAACCAAGTTTAATTATTATTATTATTATTTGATTTAACATAAAATAATTATAAATAATGTCCAGAAATGTGTTAAATGCTAAAGAATTCAATATTATTTTTTCTAAGTACTCCAAACTAAATATTCTTCTAATTTTATATATAATTTTAGAACTGATATCTAATCATACAACTTATGTTTTGTTACCGATATTGCAGCTTTGGATATTGAGATAGTTAGTTAGATGTAAGCTGTCATCTTGATATTCTTAAGCATAAATTTAGACTGTTCTGAGAAGAAAATTGCTCCTACTTCCATGCCAATGCATTGGCATTTGCAAGGAACCTCTTGGCATTCTCTACCTGAATCACTTTGATTCTCACTTTGAGACTAAAAATTTAAAACTAATGCAATTATTAAATTTAGTACAAGATCACAGCTTAACCACCTATATTTAGTCTAAATTACATTGCATTTATTATATTAATTAGCTAAGTTCTAGCCCAAAAGTTAATGTGGCATTTTCATTTAGTTAAAACATTAATATCTGTAAAAAAAAAATTCAAAAACTTATTCAAACTGTATATAAATGCAATAGGAATCCTCCTAATTTCCTTAACTCAAATAGATAGTGACTATTGAAATATATGTCTTTTTTTTTTTATTTTGTTCTTTCATATATGTTGAAAACAGGTTGGATAAACTTCAGAGAAAAACTAAATTTTCATGTTGGAATGCAAGAGTTTAGAATCTACTTTATTCAGGTGAAAAAGGGATTTTAATTACAAAAAAGTTAAGAATGATGTAGCTCTCAGCTAGCAAAATAAATGTATTTAAAATGTATTGAGTTAAGATAGTTGAGAGCTTTAGAAGCATTTAATAAATGTTTAAGGTTTATGTCATTCACTACAACATAAAATAAAAGATTGAAAATTTTGAAATTGGTTTACAAAAAATTTAAATCATTAAATTCAGAAAAGTAATTTACATCCAGATGTAAATTTTTAATTAAAATCATTACATAAAGTGTGTGTGTGTTTGTTTGTGTTCAAGAAATTAAGAATCTTTGTTTTATGTATAATACTTACAAATGCTTCAGAGAAATGTTTGTTAGAAGTTATATTTTTCCAGGGTTCCAAACAATTTACTTTGTTTTTATAATAAAAACTTTTGAATTGTTTGGAACTGTTGATAAGTCATATAAAAGAATTTGGATGTACAGTATTATATTTTGGAAGCAAAGATGTCAAAATTTTTAGTGATGATAATTTATCACTTTTATGTAGTGTACATTTCATAAATTCATTTAAAATTAATAATAATGATTTTTGTTATTGCAGAAAAGAAAACTGCAAAGATCAAAAAGAAAGAAAATGATTGGGGTTCACTTTTATAAAGAAGTTAATGTAAAGAATAGAAACAGGAAAAAGAAACATAATTGTAATTCTAATGTTTAAATATGTATATAGATATGTGTATAATAGTTTCGTTATTATACAAGAAAAATAAATATTTTAAAATAAATTGTTTTTGCATTTTTCTTTATAATATCCTGCACGATACTATTTTTGGCATTCAATTTTCTGATTGATGTTTTTTCAATATATCATACCATAAAAATTATGAATTAGTTGATATATTTTCTGCTAGAGAATTTGCATTGAAAATTTTTCTAAATAAATAATTAACACTGAATAAACTGTTTGATTTATACAAAAATATTATTAATTAAATAATATTTTGTTCAAGTCAAATGCTATTGCTTGTTCAAAATAAGTAAAAATTTAGGATAGTAAGTGCCTAAATTATATGCAATGCATTTTTAACCATAAATTAAATTCAAATTATTAAATAAAAATGTTTATATGTCTGTATATATACTGGTATATTAGATGGTCATAATTAAAATACCTAACTAGAAAGAGAATTTAGTATTCCACTACAACCAAATTTGATATAGTGGCATTTCAGGATGTGGAAGACATTTTCATAAGAAAAAAAAAAAGTACCACAACTTGTCAGTATGACATATTTTTGTGCTGCAAACTATGACACTAATTGTACAGTATAAGATATCCTATAGAAATATTAATGATGCAAGAGCTACTACTCAATAAGATCCCCTCAGAAGGTGACAAACTATTCAATGACTAACCATGAGTATCCTTTGTGATACGTCTCATATGCAGTGTGATTAGATTTTTCAATGCTATTAAATTTGTAACATGTCCTTGATAAACCACATCTAACTATCCCCACAACTGTAAGGAATAGATGGCCGAGCGGTCAAGGTGGCAGCCTACCACTCTGGGGGACCCGGAATTGAATCTGGACGGGTCAAAAAATCCCCAGGAATTGTTTGGGGTTGGCTTGTCTGGATATGTCGGCCCCATCCCTCACCACCCAGCTGCCCCATTATGGGCCTGGCCAAACTCACAATGGGCTTGCTGAAAAAGCTCTCTTAGTGCCCACAGGACAGAAAGAGTAAAAAAAAAAAGACCATAAGGAAAATGACTTAAGATCAGAGAATGCAGCCAGGCAGGTAAGAGAAGATAACCAATCACACATGTATTGGTGAAATGTTGCAGACGTTGCATGCAGTGTCAGATATGTGGAGGTGCATCACATCTTACATAAAAGTGGTTGATGCAAGCCACTTTCATGTAAGACGTAAAAGTGATGTATTGTCACTTTTACAGTTGAGGCATGACAGAAGTGTTGACAAGTCTTGATATCTCTAGGCTGTCATAGAACATGTTCATAAACCCATTGGAGTAGTTTTGGGTATAAATCTATGTAAGGCTGCAGCTTTAGATAAGCACAGTGAAAATATGAAGGTTTTCTGTGGTCCAAATGCAAACGTGTTCACTGTTGTGTTCACTAAACTGAAAATGTTCTTTGTTGCTCTACAGCAGTGTTTTTCAACTGTTTTTGTCTCAAGGCACACTTGAACCTATAATTAAATTTTGGCAGCACAGTTAAATTAGAATGATTTAATTTAATAAATTATGAAAAATATATTTCTTTTTTTCATAATTTATTTATTAACACAAAGCAATTTACTATAATTTCTAATAAATATTGATAGATAATTAAAATTCTTAAAAAGTCTTATTTATTTTTTGGAACACTATAATTGAACATTTAACCGCCTCGAACTTTCCGCCATTAAAACACCACGTGATTGTATTTTCTCACGTACTAAGAGACGAACTGTTATTGGCTGATAAAAACGCGTCTTGGCAGCAGTTGCCGCGAAAGATAGAATTCAACCAACTTTGCGGCACGAGGAAAGCGGAACAACATCGACTTCTGCGGCGAGAAAAAGTGACGTCATTCTGCCGCTTTTCCTTGCCGCGTCGCATGTGCGCATCCGGCTTTAAGGATGATGCACACATGCGGCGCGGCAAGGAAAAGCGGTGTCGCAAACGCGTCTTCGCCGCGCGGCAGCACGACCACACAAGCGGCAAACGCAAATCTCTCTACATTTCGGCGCAAGCGCAAAATATTCAAGATGGCGGGTGATTCTAATTCTGCTGCTCTTCTTATGTTTATAAATTTCGTTTTGTATACTTCACTTTATGTCTCTAGAAGACGTCGACGAAGAAGATTTGACCGGAGATTTTGGATCAGAGAGATTTTCTTAGATCGAGAGAGAACTGGTGTACAAAATACACTTATTCCTCGTCTAAGATCTTTCGACAAGGAATATTACTTCGAGTAAGATTAGTTTGTTTTGACTTTTGACTTAAATTATATATGATTGCTTGTGTTAAATTTATTATTTTGTTATAGTTTCCTCAGGATGTCTCCCGAAAAGTTTGACGAACTATTAAATAAACTTGGACNAGCTTTGTGCCGCTCCGCGACGAAAACTTCTTCGTCCGCGTCCGCTTCCAATGTGTCACGTGACATGTGCCGGGACTATTCGGTCACGTGATTACTCTCTCATGCGTTTATCATTTATCAAAACTGATATTTTATGCAATTAATTCCTTCTATCTTCGAGGAATTAACCCATGAGTGAGTAATCACGTGACCGAATAGTCCCGGCACATGTCACGTGACACATTGGAAGCGGACGCGGACGAAGAAGTTTTCGTCGCGGAGCGGCACAAAGCTTAAGCAATGGCGTCTTCGAACGGGTACACTCGGTAAGTAATCCGACAATTTTTTGTTTATAGCATATTTTATATCGATCATTTCAACAAATTATACGTGTTTTGGAAATATTCGAGTGAAATTAGTCTAGATTTAGATAATTTTATGGAAGTAAACCTCTCAAATAGCCGTACCCCCTAAACTGTACACGTGCCGGAACGGGTACCCGAGTTGGTGATTGAGGTGGCGGCTGCTGGATGACTTCGTCTTGGGATTTTTTCCTTTTGGGGACGGATCGCATGCGAGAATCGATAAAAAAAAATGTCCTTTATCTTTGGCTTACCAATGTCCTTATCAACGCTACTTCTTTCTTAGGTGCTCTTCGTGACTCAGTCGAAGCAACACCGACCTGGAGACCTCTCTCCGACGGTCTTCCCTCTTCTAGGTCCAAAGCCAAAATTACTCACTTAGTCTCTCACTTTCCCTCTGGGCTATTTCTAATCCTTTGTCTCCTAATTAGGTCACCGACCATCCACACTTGGACGAAAGTTCCAGAAAGTATAGACAAAGGAACACAGAACAAAGAAAGAAGGAAAGATAGAAAAATCATATACAGTATATAAAAATATAACAAAAAATATATTGGTGTACCACCACACCGCTTAGCGAAAGGCAGTTAACGAACCTTAGACAAATCGCTATTGTGCTCCACGTTAAGTGGGTTTCGCTACGGGTAGTCGGTCGAGCTGCTTCTGGGTTCCATGCTATCGATAGCTATTACACTTAAATCCGTAACATAATAATTTTTTTTTTTAAACTCTTTTCGCCGTGGGCACTAAGAGGGCCTCTTATAGCTAGGCCATTATGGGCTCTTATAGCTAGGCCATTATATATTATGGCCTAGACCCACAATGGGGCGACCGGGTGGTGAAGAATGGGGCCTGATATCCGGACGGACCATCCCCCGAAGATTTCATGGGGATTTTTCGACCCTGTTGGATACGATCCTTGGTCCCCTTCAGAACGGTAGGTTGCCACCTTGACCGCTCGACCATCCGGCCGTGGTAACATAATAATCTCACAAGTCAGAATAAATAAAACATGTCTTCTAATATTATTTATTTATAGATTATCGAATTAAAGTTGAATTTTGTTAACGAGTAAATTATTATGTTGTTATGTAGAATATTATTAATGCTTGAAAATCAATATTTCGATAGTATCGACTTTATTATCAATTTTAGCCTTTTCAAATGTTACATTCGATATCAATAGATGGCATTATTTACCGAATGACGTCATGGCGATCGACATTTGAATTTACGGGAAAGTGAAATATAACTACATATTAAAGTTATGTTCGACGTTTTCATATTATCAAAACATGAGATATAAAAAGTGATAGAGAAAATATTATTCCACGAATATTTCATAGCAGTCAGATTCATTATAATAAATCGATAAATGCCAAATTTGGATCGCGTGTAGTGTACAGTTATTCTTATATACATTAAGACAGGCTTTAGAGGTAATTAGGGTAAAATATTTCACTAGAAGTTATCTTTAGGGCTTTGATCATATACGTATATATGATCAAAGTACTTAAAAGTAACCTCTACTCAAGTAACATTTTTTTTGATTTAAGTTAGTGGTGCCCAAACTACATCTCCTGGACCAAATCCACATGTTAATCTGCAGAAAAGATATTTGACACATCATCTTTAAATGATAGAAATGGGTCTACATTTAGTTTATATGAAATATATAAAATATGTGTAGCCCGTCTACCTATGCCTTATATTCAGTGTGACCCACTGGTTGAAAAGTTTGGGCTCCAATGATTTAAGTAATGAGTTAAAATAATGATTAGTGATCATTATTTTAACTCATTTAGATTTATGTATCGGTTATAGGTTAAATAATTTGTGAAAATTTTATATTAAAGTGAAACTCTGTTTAACCAGATTTTCAGTTTATATGGATTATAAAACAATTCCTATTTCAGAAGTATGAAAGATATACAGAAAACCTATAACTGTGAAAATATCAAATAATAAGTTTATTGTTTGTAACCTCACGAGTTGTTATTCACTCAACATCCATGGTTACTATTGTTTTGCTGAGTTTCAGTCACCTTCCATCAAGAAAGTGATGGCCAAAAGAAAGAAAGTTGTTATGCTAGAGAAGAAATTAGAAAAAACACTGTAAAATTGATTAAAGTGAACCCTTGAAAGCCATTGCTGCAGAGTTTGGAGTTGGAACTTCTACTGTGTTTGATTGGAAGAATAATCAAAAAGAAATTGAAGACTTTTGTTGCAAAATGTTTTTTAAGAACAATCTGCAAACTTGAGGAACAATAAAGAAGGCAAAATATGAATCACTTGGTCATGCATTATTCTTATGGTTCAGTGATCAGCAGGACTATAGCATTCTGATATCAGGTCCAATTTTACAAGAGAAAGCACTAAGTTTAAACAGCAAGCTATCTGATGGGGATCCCTCATTTACAGTTGGTTAAACAGGTGGAAAATTCGTCATAGTGTACATCATCATGCAATGTCTGGTTAGAGTCCTTCTGGTAATATTAAAGGTTATGAACATTTTAAAAAGGATTTCAGTTTCAACCATATAATGTTGCTTTTTTACGGACTTATCATACAAGAACTCAAGAGACAATATGGCTGAATTTAGACTTTATTGATATTAGTTACAAGAAAGTGCATTTTGGGTGTTATACCCCTTACCAGTTCTTATCACTTTTAGATAAGATTTTTGGATGAGAAAGATAAAAGATCTTTTTTAAATGTCATATTTTAAAAATTTATTGTAGGTTTCCTTTTTTTGTCAATTTTTAGATATAAATGATGATAAAATATTTTAAATAAGGTGTTTTGTATTTAGATTATATGTTAAAAATTCGATTGTTTTGAAATGGTACAAAAAACATCTTTGAAAAATACAGGTAAATGCTATTTATAATTGGTGGTGATAAATTTGTAAAACAATTTGTAATATGGTATCTTTGTATATTTATGGTATTAGGTTCTAAAAGTGATAAGAACTGATGAGGAATATAACACCTGAAATGCATTTTCTTGTAACTAATATCAAAAAAGTTCAAATTCAACCATATTGTCTCCTAAGTTCTTGTAAAAAAGCAATATTATATGCTTGAAACTGAAACTATAAAAGAAACGGAACAAGAAGATAGAATAACAATTTTAAAAATAAACTTAATAATTGAGTCTGAAAAGCTAAAGCCAGACCAAATTTATAATGCTGATGAAATTTGTCTTTTTTTTTTTTTTTTTTAAAGATGCTACCATCACTTTGAAATTAGAACATTTGACTAAAACAGGTTCCCAACTTGTGTTCTGCGGAACCTAGGGAGTTTTGAGTTTCACAATGAAATCCATTAAATCTAATGATGTATGAATATGTCAATGCAGATTTGGAATGTGAGGTGTAATTGCTGTAGTCTCAGATTGAGTCCTTGCATGAAGATACAAGAACTCCAATGGAGACTATACATGTGCTAAAGTTATTTATAGATTTATAAACAGTGGCACATAAATAATGTAAATTTAAAAATAAATTTTTTAAATTATACTTCGGGATTATACTTAGTCGATCCCAAGATAATTTCGGTATTGAGGGTTAATAAAATATAAGAAAATCTTACAGAAATCAACAAATCAAAATTTAGACAAAAATCAACATATTTTACAGTATACACCTAGCTAATTTACTCACTCTAACTAATCAGACTCAGAGTCAGACTAACCAGACTTAAAATAACTCAGTCTTAATGTTAAATTTATTCTTTTTTAAGCATCACTGAGATCTCTTTAAACTCACATAAATTGAAAAAACCTTTATGTAACAAACTATGCAAATAAACGTTGAAAATTAACAAAAATCTCTCTTAACATCGA